TTTGATATCACTTTCTAATAAGTTGAAACAGACTTGGCATGATGTTTAAGTGCAAGTTTTTATAATCACCAGGCAAATCAGCCAAAAAGCGGCAAGGTTGGGTTCTCACAGAATACACTCATTTTGCTCACATTTAATCACCTTTGTGACCTTAATTAAACTGTAAAATATTAAAGCTTTCCGTTGCGTTATTGTCGAGATACAGCCACATTCACATTTCACTGCCTCGCGTGGCTCCCGTCTCACTTTTCAACTGTGTAAGTGGTGTATTTTTCACCGAAGTTTGCTTCACAAATGTGCATGAAGTGATCAGTACATTACTTCGACCAATACTACAATTGAAAGATGAATATATAATCTTTATAACGACAGAGATTTATGTCAAAATTCCGTTGCTATGGTTACAAACTACCGAGGTTATTGTTGTGTTCGTGCATTTTCCTACCTTCACCAGGTGTGCTCTCCCTGCGCGGAGAGCGCGCAATTACGGTAAGTACTGCGCACACCAGGTGGAGAGCCCAACTTCCCTGCCTGATCCCGGTGAGTACAACTCATCCACAGCTACCGTGCAGACGTGTACGGTACAGACGACCAAAAATAATCAGAATTGAAACACAATACACAGTGATCTACAATCTCACTCCGTAAGTAGAACCAGTGAATACTTTATTGGCGACAAGGCATTCGTAACTTGTATTTTTGCGGGCCTAAAGCTTAGTTTTCGCTGCGATCTAGCTGAAAGTAGATTACGCGGAAAATTTCTTTGTCTAACATCCATTTGAAAAATTGGGTGGAGCGGCGGTCAAAATTGTAGTTTCAGTTTTGGATCATAAAGGTTACCGCTTCAGGAGACACTGGTATTTGTTGCGTATCTACTGTATTTTCGGTGCATACGTGTGTGAATTGTGATATAGCAGGGGCGGATTTAGGCCGTCTTCTGGGTCTTCCGGAAGACGGGCAGATTTTCAGGTTTACATTGGCGGGTATCTAATTTTTTCTGTCGGAAGACGGTCAAAAATGGAGGGTGGATCAATAAAGATAATTCAGAAGTCTGTCACAAAATATCTCTGGATCCGCCCTGTAAAGGAGACGTTGGTCTCATTCCCCTGTGTGTTGTTATCAAAGCTGAATTTTCTCCAAGACTGAGGTGCACACGTAATATTTTGGTTTCTTTATTTCTTTAGTTTATTTGAAAGAATAAAATATTGACTTCAGTATTGTTGTTGATTATTCTTTTGTATCNGAATACTTTAGTACCTTATCAATGGGGAACCATTCATCACACTATACATTCATTGCTCTCTTTGATCTCAAATGACATTTTCTTCACAGAGTCACTCTAAAAAAAGCTCCTAGTTACCTTTATGCCTCCCCATGTTTCAGATCTCCATTGGTAGCAAGTCCTGTTTTAGATGCCTTAGTAACTTTTCAGAAAAAAATCAACTGTCAAGCTTGCATGCTAGGGTTCAAGATGTCTGCGCCAAACATTGCTTATTTAAATACCTGGATTGACAGCGAGGTCCCTTACCTCACACCAATTATCGAACAATTTTTTTGTTTTTTTAGGCCATACAGTTGCCAATATTGAAAGAACAAGACAAAATTTTGAAGGAGGAAAATGAAAGGCACAACAAATTTTATAAACTTAAGGAAAAATTTGCCTGCGTTAAGTTTTTCAGCTGGATGTGGCAAGAGACCCTGTATTGCAGGGAACTAATAAAATATCAATACACTATACAACTGAATAGGCTAGGAAAACAATAATTTCTAAAGCCTATAGTGTTATAGCGAGTTCATTTAAATACCCAAGTGTTTACTCTGACTGAAGCATACGCACATGATTGGTGAACTGTTGTTGTTTGTTTGAAAGTTAAGTAAACAGTTAATCTCATTTGCATGTTCAAACACATACCCAGCTCACTGTGTTACCTACATGAGACCAGCCGCATATTTATCATTTTTTAAATCTATATTGAATAAACTAATGTACATTTTTATTTGTTTGGTTCGATTGTGTGACTTTTCCTTTACATATTGAAAAAAGAAGAGAAGAGAAAATAAAATAAAGGGGTTTCTTTTAGTATTACTACTTTAAAAACAGATCAATTTATTTGATAAACATGCAGAAAAAAATCATAACCTTATTTTTATGATTTATTTCACTAATTAATGCATCGTTATTAAGATGTTAAAATTTAAGTTTAGTGTGTGGGATGAACAGGTCAATATTTTTTCATTATTTAAATGATAAACTTTATACATCAGAAAAGAACTAAACTATTAAGTAACAATAAGAAGCAGGGATTTAACTAACTGATATGAGAGAATTACTATAGGCAATAAAATAATAAGAATAAATTGGAGAATTTAACATATTGACCAAAATCTAGAAATTTATAAATCACATTGTAAAGTGATCACACTCAGCATTTACCATACTGTAGGTTTTTCTATTTATTTTTTTTTTAATTTCACTGTTTTATTAATTAATTTACAGTCTGTGGTAGCCCCATAATGGTTGTTTAATTGTTTTAGATTCATCAACAAAATAGCATTCACCATAAGCCAGTGAAAAATTTGAAAAGATTTTTCTATATATTTCTTCTTTCACTTGTTTATTGACAATTTACCGTGGTAGTTACATATATAATGGCTGTTTAATTTTTTTTTTTTTTAGATTCACCAACAAAATAAAGGCTACAGCCAACCATGGGCAAAACACCCTTACCAAACAAGCTGACTGAGACATCTTAGTTTGCACCATTTTTCTTACCAAAAAAATAATAATAAAACAAGATAAAAACTAAATAAACTTACATGGAAGACTTTCTGATCCTTCATCACATTCTAAAGTTGGTGTAATATTCCTACAGAGATTAGCTGAGATACTGGAGTCTGCCCAGCTAAGAGTCACTGGCTGGAATGAAGACGTCTCTACACAGGATGTTCTCTCTCTGTGGTATTTAAGGCCATTAGAGCTGAAAAGAATTGATGGATTAATTGAAAAAGGACAAAATAGACAGTGCATGTCCCATAAAACGAAAATCACTAATACTACATATTTAGCTTTTCTTTCAATTTTTGGGAAATTTATTTTAAAAAAGGTATAATGCAAAAATTTTAATCATGATCTGCAAACCCAAAAACAACGCCAAAGCCATCCTGAATTGAAATAATAATAATAATTATAATAATAATAATCACATCTTACATGTCACATATCTCTCATTAGAAAAGAAAATCCAAAAATAACTACATCAACAAATTAATAATAAATAAATAAATAAATAAATAAATAAATAAATAAATAAATAAATAAATAAATAAATAAATAATTTCCCAATGGAATATCAAAACAATATACTATCACAAACATCTCACCTCTTAAAAGTCTTCCTGCACTTGTCACACATGTAAGGTCTGTCCTGGTAATGTGATTTCAGATGATACCTCAGCCCCGGGGAGCTAGTAAGAACTTTATCACAGCCATCATGGGGGCACTTGAGGAGTCGTTGAGGGCTTATAGGCACATCACAGTTGTTGCTTAAGTATTCCTGCATCCGCTCAGTTTTGACGTGGGGCCTCTTCTGGGGCTGTTTAGAATATTGGGGTTATTAGTATAATGATGAGATGAATGACTTAAGTTTTGATAAATAAATGGTTGGCGTTTGTAAATGTGTTTTAAAAAAATGCACCGGTGTAGTATACCTGATACGTACTGTACATGTACGTCAATGTCGTCAATTGCCAGTCACTACAAGTTTAAGCACATACAGGAGACAGAATGCACTTGTTACATCAGGGAAGAAAACTGAAAGCTCATAATGTAGTAGTGGTAGTAGTAGTAGTAGTAGTAGTAGTAAGTTACATGTACCAGTCCCGCCCACCGGTACAGGCAGTGCATGCATAATGTAGTAGTACATATGTTCAATGTAACACTTCTTTAAATTGCACAAGCAACGAAACCTGGACTTCGACGATCTTCCAGCTTAAAAGTATGAATCCTTACATACTAGTTTGGTGAACCCAGAAAAAATGATTTTATCAGTTAAATTGGGTTGAATACACGATTCAAAAATTCATTAGAAGTTTTCAATCAATGGGCAGTAGCTACGTAAACATTGAAACAGCTGATATCGTACAGGTTATATTCAATGAAATTTTCTTTAATTTTTTATGTCTTCTGTTGAAATTAAGATCAGATATGCATCGGTATCTATATTATAAGTCTGCAAAATTCTGAATATTTAGGGTAACGATTATCTGCACATTTGCAGATTTTTTTTAGAAAATTACTTTTAAAACTCGCACTCACCTCCACTGACGCCATCTTCAGTCAATAGAAATGCCATGCATTAGTGAGAGAAATATTTTCATTGGTTGATTATCCCATCGCCCCAGTTAAAGACTTGTTCATTGGATAATAGATAGCTTCATTGATAGCTTGGGTTGTTATGTCCTCGGGAGACAGCTGTTACTCTAGTCTAAATAAAGTCTAAAATGTCGCCATTTAAAGTCTGTCTATCTATAAGAATAACCAAGAAACTCTTTACGAATCATCTACTTTTGTACACTGTTTATTCATTAAGGCTACTGCAAAACCAACGTTGTTACAGCAGTCAAAATAATATTTTATGACGTAGGAAGCATAGCACATGATAGAACAGCCGTACTGCTCAGCTAGGCGCGGAGTTCAGATGTAAACATACAAGAAACGAATGTACCTGTTGTAGATGAGATCGTGAAGCAATTCTTCAGCTTAGGTAAATCTGACATAAAGTTCTATGGGGATATCCATTCAATTGTGAATTAATGCAGAAATGTGTTGTTTACGTGAAAAAATGATAAATGTCAAGCAACAGATATTTGTGTTGATCGTGCCTTTTATAAAGTTGTAGACTAGTAGTAGTAGTAGTAGTAGCGCTAGTGGTACTATCCTGTAGTCAACAGTTGTGTAAAGTTTTCTGTTTTTCTAATCTTTAGGCCTTATCATTTGTATAATGTCCAGTTCAGACATTCAGCTCAAAAAGCAGGCAGCTGTAGACGCCCTGAAGGCCGAATGTGAAGAAAAATGGACACAAATCACACAGGTAAATTACTATCATGGAATTTTTATCCTTGATAGTGTTAGGGTCTACCTGCGTGGAAACTTACCAGATTTTTTATATGTTTTGTAAACTACAAAAAAAGTCATTCCAACTTATACTTGTATGACCCCAGTCAACATTGATGAAAAATGTAAGCAGCACTTCGAACCAACAAATAAAACATAAAGTGATCTCAAAGTCTAGCTTACGGGGGTGGGTGGGGGGGGGGGGGGGGGCTGTCAAAACATGTCTCCATGGGCCCAGTCTTGGACCCCATTTCCATAGATTTTTAGATCGATCTATCCCTGTGGGGAGTCTCACTAGATTACTGTCAGCTTGGCCGGCTTAAGCGTCTGTCCTGCCTACTAAAAGCTGTAAGGGGGTAATTAACTATGGTGCCCGCTCAGCTGACTGCAATTTAGCGTGAACCCCCAGGGAGTTAGGTCGATCTAAATCTTAATCTTTAGATGGATCTAAATCTCTGGGAAAGCACCCTTGGACAGTGTTATTTTGATTTAAACCAAGGCATGAGGTGACCACCCCCAACAAATATCTAATCTGAATGGCAGTATAAAACTGCAAGTCCTCATACTGCTTAAAATTTTGAGTTATGCCTAATAATTATGTCTTGTTCAGTTATATGAAGACATCCAGACACAAAAGAAACCCCATGATGAGCACGTGAGAGATGATCCTCTGTTGAAAATCTACCAGGCAAAGGAGAAGAGGTTAAAAGCTGAAGTGGAGGTGTTTAAGAATAAGGAGACAGGGGGTAAGATTTACACGGAAAGTATGTAGTGTCTTAAGATAAGGTAATAAATAACACATTTCCTTTAACCCATTGTCAGTAGCATATATATATATATTTATTTTATTCTGGGATAGCGCCAACACTCCCCTATTTAGCCAAATGCTAAAACTTACTTAAATTGGCTGAAGAAAAAGTGCTTGATTTGACTTGTTTTAGTCAAATTATAACCATTTTGATTACAAATTGACAAAAAAGTGGTGATTTGGCTAAGCGAAAAAAATTGCTAGCGCTACCCCAGTAATTTATTTATTTTTATTTGGAGGGGGGGGGACACTTGCCTTGCCCAGCACTCATCTATGGTGACGTCGTCCTCTTTTCCCACAAAAATGAATGTACAAAACTAACAAAAAGCAAGCATTTTTCCTACCATGTACCCCAGATTTACTTAATTTGCCCTCAGCCCCCAGTGTATACATGGCTCCCTCCATCGCAGCAAAATTCTGGAGCCACCAGTGTATGTTTATACAACCTTATATAACCATTTTCACAAATATTTAGAAGTAACTTGAGGTGGATTGTAGTAAGACTTAACGGCAATTGCTTGCCTGGGATAAAGTCAATGAAAAAATTGTTATAATTATATATGTGTTATATATGTGTTTTCTAAGATGATATTTTGGGAGTCAAAGATTAATTTTTAGTCTGATTTTGTGTTTAGTTCCAGTGACATATACTTGTCACATTTGATTTTGCATTGTATTTTATTTTTTATTTTAATGTATTTTATATTTTAGTTATTAGCTTTTGTGTATAAAATGAATTCCAGTTGTAAAAACTTTTTTTTTTAAATCAGAATGAATGAATTAATTTTAGTCAATTTCCCTCTAGCTCTCCCCAAGGACCCAGTGGTACTTCACACCTTACTTAAAGATGAACTTACCACCTCTATCACCCAGCTAGAACACACCCTAGCCATGGTGGCAGGACAGAAGGCAGAGATGCTCAAACAGATTGAGAGGTCTGTCTGTTTTTTTTTTTTTTTTTTTTTTTTTTTTTTTTTTTGCCTTACATTTCAACAGTTGTAGAAGTAATGTAGCAATTAAAGCTAGGTTAATGTAAAACACCATACATTTAAATCAAACAAGATTATTCATAAATCTTTATCAAACATAAGCCAAAATATTTTCATACTGTTAGCTTGCGGCCAACCTGGGTTAGGGCCTTCATCAGACTTCATTAGATACTGACCTTTGCCCAGTTTGCCACAAGCTAACAGTATGAAAGCATTTCTGCTTGTGTTTGATAATATCATTTATGATCCAACTACCAAGCTAATGAACATTTTTGCTCAACAAGATTAGTGTATATTAATGATTTTTGTAAAATTCTGTGCAGAGATGAAGCCCGGTTGGAGGAACAAAGAGAAATAAAAGCTGCCCTGGAGGTAAAGGTGGAAGAGATCATGGCACAAGAGACACCTGGAAACGAAAGAAGGTGATAAAATGTCCACATTCAACCAGTCAGTGTACTTAACACTGGTCATACACCAGATATATCAGTTTAATTGAAGCCAGGCCAGTAAAATTGTTTTGAAAATTGTTCATTTACTTGCCCTTGCTTTGATCGTAACATTGCTCATTATCATGATTTTGTTCACTTTTAGTAGTTTGAGAGATGACATATTAAATTAATAGTTACAAAACAAATTAATTCTTTAGTTTTGATATATTAAACATGTTGCAAAGAAACATGGTTTTGACCATAGCATTGGTTGTACATGCTTGTGTCTACCCCGGCCAGTCACTTGATAAAAAAAAAAAAAAAAATATATATATATATATATATATATATATATATACACACTGACAATGTCATATGGAATTTTTTATATCAGTTATTTGAAAGAATTGGAACATAAAAGAAAAAGGGCCATTGAAAAAAACAGAGAGCTTATGTTGGAGATGGTAAGATTAGTTCTCTTTTATAATATTTTAGAATCCTTAAAAAAAGAGCATTCTAATCTAGACCTTGCAGTTGAATTTTAACCGAATCAGATTCTTTTGTCTTGGAGTATATGTTTTACTGGAAATATATTGTACAGTATTTCAAAAACATTGGTAGATAATTTGGTATCAGTTTAACACCTGTGAAAAAATGCATGATAAGTCACTGTTGAGGTTGTATTTTCAGCGTGACTTTATAGCAAAATTCTTCCCGCCACCAACGTACAACCAAATGAAGGAGTGGAGAAGGGTAGGTGTGAACTGAAGTATTGTGTTCTATCCCTCCGTCTGTCTTGATGAACCTCAATAAATAAAAAATATTGGCTACAGGTGCTTCTGTCATCCATTTCTTTTCTCAAAGAAATAGTCAGTTTATAAATTAATCTTTCTTTAAATCGTTCTTGTATTTTGAAAAATGTTTTTGAAATAGGCAAATGAATGTAACAGTAGTGAAAATAATTGTGAAGGTTTGTGTAAAGTGTATATTTTTAATTTTAAATAATTTATTAATTTATTAATTTATTTATTTATTTTTTTTAATTATCTTGTAAAACAATTTTTAATTTTGTGTGCAGAATCACCAGCAGCCAGGTACAGGACGGAGGTCTAACGAGTCCTACACCAGTTCTGAAAGCCTCAATGGTGACGGTGTGGTCAGCTTGCAAGATATGGTAGAGGTAAAGTAACTGCTCTAAATTGGATTTATTAAGTAGAAATTCAGTCCAAAGTTTACAGTGTACGATCCCCCCCCCCCCCCAAAAAAAAAAAAATAATAAAAAATTCTTAAATTTTCTATGGGTGCATGGTATTTTTCTCTAACTAACTTATGCTTGGTCCTCTCTTACTTACACTTTAATTTGAATGTTACATAACTCGGATGCCATTATGTGTCTTTTGCACTAAATTAACTTAAAAGTAGTGTGTGCACAGAGTGACTACATATCTTGTTTTTTTTTTAATATTTTCAATTTATTTATTTATTTATTTTTTTCATAAATGTGCCCATGAGAAAGAGGGAAGGGGCTAAGCTTACAATTTTAGTGTGCATCGAAAGTCCCCTCAAAGGATCTATAACAAATTCAACTGAATCCAGGTCTCCAAATATTGTGACAGTATTTTTTGTTTCTGTTACCCTTTAAACAGCACTTGCCTCCTGGCAGATGTCAGCACTGTAAGGGTGATCTCTTTGCTTTTTCAGAAACTGTTGAAAGTTCAATCATTCAATCAAATTGACTGCATTAATTAAGCAACAGCAAAAAATCCCAAACCCCACCAGTCTCCATGACACTGGCAAGCTCAGTCATGTTCTCTAAGCCAGTATACTCAAGGAGAACCTGGACATGAGTTTTGTTTCATTCACCCATAAAAACGATTTAAAAAACAATGACGATAAAAATGGCTGGTAGCCCTCAATCTGCAATGCATTAGAAGTGACTTTTGGGATATCGCCACAGAGCTCCATGTTTGGCTACTATTAAAAGTAATTAGTGTTATAGGGTTTTATGTTTGCAGGCATTGATGAAAGCTTACTTAATTATTCTGTTTCCTGTTTTCAGCATCTGATGAACAAACTGCTGGACAGTCCACATGACCCCTACCTGACCACTGACCAGTCTTACTGGCCTCCTTACTTGGAACTTCTGCTCAGGACTGGCATTGCTTTAAAACATCCAGAGGATGGACACAGGATCAAACTGGTCCCCTTTCACCTGTAATCCTCTAAGTAATGTGTGAGTATGGACAGAAATTCAAATTTGTCCCATTTCACTGGTTATGCTATAACTTATAAGGATGGGCAGAGGATCAAACTGGTCCCTTTGCAACTGTAACACCCTGAGGATAGACGTAGGATCAAACTGGTCCCTTTCACCTGTAACACCCAGAGGATAGACGTAGGATCAAACTGTTCCCTTTCACCTGTAACACCCAGAGGATAGACGTAGGATCAAACTGGTCCCTTTCACCTGTAACACCCAGCAGATGGACAGAGAATCAAATTTGTTCTCTTGTAATGTAATGAGGATAAACAGGATCAAACTTGTGTTCTTTTCCTTGTAACATCCCAAGGATGGACAGGGGATCAAAGTGGTCGTGAGGATAGAGGAGCAAACTGGCCCCATTTCACTTGTACTACCATGAGGATGGACAGAGGATCAAACCTGGTCTGTTTTTACTCATAGCAGCTGGAGAGAGAACAGCAAATCAAGCTCATCCCCATTAACTTAAAGACAATAAGAGCGTAACACTTATATAAATTTTATCAATCCCAAAATTGGCATTTTTAAAAGATTGACTTGAGGATCATTTTGGTTGTACTGACTGTAACACCCCATTTCCATAGATTAGATCGATCTACTTTAGATCGACCTAACTCCCTGGGGGTTCACGCTAAATAGCTATCAGCCGGGCGGACACGAAAGTTAATTACCCCCTTAGAGCTTGTAGTAGGCGGGACGGACATTTAAGTCGGATTATCTGAAAGTAATCTAGTGAGACTCCCCGCGGGGATAGATCGATCTAAAATCTATGGGAATAGAGCCTAAGATAATATATGTTCTTCGCATCATCTCTTACCAGGAGTGTAGTGCACACGAAGAAAATAATGAAAAAAATAAAAAATAAAAAGGACCACATGAATTTTTGCACCTGATGGTGCATATGTTATTTTATTTTATTCATATATATATTTTTTTTCTTTTTTGCCAAATGAAAATAGGTCGAAGGCCTGTAGCAAACAATTTGAAAGGAGGGGGATATCTTTTTCTGAAAAGANTTCACCTGTAACACCCAGAGGATGGACAGGGAATCAAATTTGTTCGCTTGTAATGTAATGAGGATGAACAGGATCAAACTTGTGTTCTTTTGCTTGTAACATCCCGAGGATGGACAGGGGATCAAAGTGGTCGTGAGGACAGAGGAGCAAACTGGCCCCATTTCACTGGTACTACCATGAGGATTGACAGAGGATCAAACCTGGTCTGTTTTTACTCATAACAGCTGGAGAGAGAACAGCAAATCAAGCTCATCCCCATTAACTTAAAGACAATAAGAGTGTAACACTTATATAAATTTTATCAATCCCAAAATTGGCATTTTTTAAAGATTGACTTGAGGATCATTTTGGTTGTACTGACTGTAACACCCCATTTCCATAGATTAGATCGATCTACTTTAGATCGACCTAACTCCCTGGGGGTTCACGCTAAATAGCTGTCAGCCGGGCGGACACGAAAGTTAATTACCCCCTTAGAGCTTGTAGTAGGCGGGACGGACATTTAAGTCGGATTATCTGAAAGTAATCTAGTGAGACTCCCCGCGGGGATAGATCGATCTAAAATCTATGGGAATAGAGCCTAAGATAATATATGTTTTTCGCATCATCCCTTACCAGGAGTGTAGTGCACACGAAGAAAATAATGAAAAAAATAAAAAATAAAAAGGACCATATGAATTTTTGCACCTGATGGTGCATATGTTATTTTATTTTATTCATATATATATTTTTTTTTCTTTTTTGCCAAATGAAAATAGGTCGAAGGCCTGTAGCAAACAATTTGAAAGGAGGGGGATATCTTTTTCTGAAAAGGTGGACCGTTTTATTCCTTACGTTGATCCTTCTGGAGCAGTGACACAGAACCTGGAACAAATTTTGATTCAGACTGGTTCATTAGAACCCTGCTCACTTATTAAGGACAAGATTCTGGCAAACGTATTCTTCTTTACAAACTTAACTAATGGAAGTTGTGAAGTTAATTGTTGGCAATAGAGAGAAGGCTGCCAAAGCAATGTACCAAACTTCAAATACTGTCTTGTAACTCGGTAGGCCTACTCTTCACTAGCGATCAGCTGAGGGATGACGTAAATTCTAAAATCTCGCTGGGCAATGTAGAAAAGTGCACTGAATTAGTCAGAGACATATCTTATGATTTCTTTTGAAAAGTCAACGTGTGATCCTGGTGTAGATATAAATTAGGTGGTCCCCTTTTCAGGTTAAAAAGGCATCTTTATCTGAACAGATTTCTTATCGTATCGATTGTAGACGGTACGTATGACGCGTGGTGTAACCCGGATATGATAAGGTCGGGTATGTGCTATTTATTAATGCAAATGTATACAAAACGAAGACAAATAAATTTGTTTAACTATGACTTCACAAGAATTTGCACTATCTTGGATAGTTTGGTTTGCCCCTCCACCTAAAAAGAAACAACGGGCCTTCCCATTTGGCGTAAAATGACCATTTTAAAGACGTCCATTTTTGGTCAGATTTTTAAAAATACCCTCAATATGCAAATTTTAATGAAAAAAGATAAACATTTTTTATCGTTTTAAAGAAGGGTAATTAGAAAATGAGGACCGGGCTTAGGGGGCTTTAAAGCTCAGATTATGAGGAAATTAGAGCTAAGTTAAAATAATACCAAATTAAATCGGGATGAGAGTGAAAAAAATGATTTTAAATTTAACCAAACACACAAAATATAGTTTAACCCTCCGGACTTTTGGAAGTATTGGTTGCGGAAGATGTCACATATTCCTAAATGGCATGGTAACCTTCGGTTTCAGTTATTTAAATAGCGTAAGTGGCCCAATCCCGTAAAACGCATGTATTTTACGGAGGGCGTCTCTTACAGAATAGTGCTCTTTGTGCTGTATTTTCCAACTCTTTGTTAGAACTGCCACGCAGAAAGCTAGACGTTTATTGCAGAGGGAAGAAATATTCCATAATATCGCACGTGGAAGGGGGGAAAAGTGACACAGTGGGATGGATGAAAGCTACTCGTACCAGCCAGACTACGAAAGCGAAAGTTAACCAGGAAATGCCGTTGACTCGATAGGCTGTTTCTCACGTCTTTCACGTAAGTCTCTCTCTCTCTCTCTCTCTCTCAGGTTAAAAAAAGTAGAATACATAGGACATGATAAGTATTGTAGTAGGATGCAGAGGTAGGGGAATAGGATATTCAGGGAAAAGCTTTTCTCTTTCACTTTCTCACACAGACAGACGCATATATCATTTTCTCAGCCTACTGCCCCTAGTTTAGTTATATAATAATGGAAACTCCCGGACTTCAAATTCCCATATTAGGGACCATTCCCACAGATATTTGGATAGATCTATCTCCCTGGTGAGTCTCACTGAAATGCTGTTAACTTGACTGGCTTAAACGTTTGTCACGCCTGGTAAAGATGTTAGGGGGTAATTATCTTTACCCCCTATCTTATGATCTCTTGTGAAAAGTCAGCGTGCTATCCCTGATATAAATTGGGTGGTCCCTTTTTCAGGCTTAAAAGGCATTTTTATCTAAACAGCATTCTTACTGTGTTGATTGTAGACGGTATGTATGACGCATGGTGTAACCCGGATATGATAAGGTCTTGTATGTGCTATTAATGCAAATGTATCCAAAACGAAGACATAAATAAATTTGTTTAACTATGACTTCACAAGAATTTGCACTGTATTGCATAGTTGGGTCTGCTTTCTCTCGAATTTTTAAATGAAAACTGTAAAGAGGTTTGGAGAGGCGCAGTTACCCCCGCCCCTCCACCTAAAAGAAACAACGGGCCTTCCCATTTAGCGTGAAATAACCATTTTAACGACGTCCATTTTTGGTCAGTTTTTAAACAATACCCTCAATTTATATTTAATGAAAAAAAAACATTTTTTTCTCTTTTTAAAGAAGGGTAATTAGAAAATGAGGACCGGGTTTAGGGGGCTTTAAAGGTCAGATTATGAGGAAATTAGAGCTAAGTTAAAATAATACCAAATAAATCAGAATGAGAGTGACAAAAGTGATCTTAAATTTAACCAAACACACATAATATAGTTAAACCCTCCAGACTTATGAATGTATTGGTTGGGGAAGATGTCGCATATTCCTAATTGGCATGGTAACTTTCAGTTTCAGGTATTTAATAGAGCATAAGAGGCCAAATTCTGTAAAACGCATCAACAGAGGGCGAGTCTTATATGTAGAATAGTGCTCTTTGTGCTGTATATTTCAACTCTCTGTTAGAGCTCTCACACAGACAGCTAGACGTACACAGTCTATATTGAAGAGGAGGAAATATGTTATAATATCGCGTGTGGAAGGGAAAAAAGACTTACGCAGTGGGATGGATGAAAGCTACTCGTACCAGCCAGACCACGAAAGTGAAAGTTAACCAGGAAATGCTGTTGACTTAATAGGCTGTCTCTCACGTCTTTCGTGTAAGTCTCTCTCTCTCTCTCTCTCTCTCAGGTTAAAATAGTAGAATACACAGGACATGATAAGTATTGTAGTAGGATACAGAGGTAGAGGAATAGGATATTCAGGGAGAAGCTTTTCTCTTTCACTTTCTCACACAGACAGAGGCATGAGCATTTTCTCAGCCTACTGTCCCTAGTTTATTTATATAAAAATGGAAACTCCCGGACTTCAAATTCACATATTAGGGACCATTCCCACAGATATTTGGATGGATCTATCTCCCTGAATTGCTGTTAACTTGACTGGCTTAAATGTCTGTCACGCCTAGTAAAACTGTTCTACTTGTACCAGCCAGACTACGAAAGCAAAAGTTAACCAGGAAATGCTGTTGACTCGATAGGCTGCATCTCACAGCTTTCATGTAGTTAAGTCTCTCTCTCTGTCTCTCTCTCTCAGGTTAAAATAGTGGAATACATAGGACATGATTAGGATTGTTGCTAGATGCAGAGGTAGGGGAATAAGATTTTCAGGGAGAAGCTTTTCTCTGTCACTTTCTCACACAGACAGACGCATATAGCATTTTCTCAGCTTACTACCCCTAGTTTGGTTATATAATAATGGAAACTCACGGACTTCAAATTCACATATTAGGGACCATTCCCACAGATATTTGGATAGATCTATCTCCCTGAATTGCTGTTAACTTGACCGGCTTAAATGTCTGTCACGCCTAGTAAAGCTGGTAGGGGGTAATTATCTTTACCACCAAGCAGGGGGTAATTATCCTTACCCCCTAGCTGATTCAGTAGGCATGACAGACATTTAAGCTGGTTAAGTTGATAGCAATTTAGTGAGACTCCCCAGTGAGTTAGATTGATCCAGATGGATCTATCTTGTCATGGGAACCCAGTCTTATGTTAAAGGGATAATCACTCTTCGTTTCAGCCGAAAAATGAATTTTCCTGGAGTAAACAGCAATTTTCCCATACTTACCAATGGTTAATGAATCCATTTTTACATTCAAAATTAGTCCCTGTTTTTTTACTAAAAAGTTTGGTTTTTTGTTAAAATCTCTTAAGAGATTTTAACAGAGTATGGCCATCAATGGAGGTCACATGGTCTAAAAACAAGCTCAGATATCAGAATTATAGCTATAACTGCCATTTTTGTGGTAAAACAGAATATATTATATTTCTATGAGTTATTCACAATGTTTTTATTGTGAAATACAGATCTCATACGAAGAGTTATTATCCCTTTAATAGAAACATTAAGTATAATTTAATTAAGATAATAACCGCATGCAATCCAGATCGATTATGTCAACTGAAATCCATCCACTGATCACGAAATTCAATATAATTTGAATATTAATTTACTTTTTCTTTTAATTATATATATATATATATATATATATATATGTGTGTGTGTGTGTATTTGTGCAAGTGTTTGTTTGCACGTAGGCACTGGATGCAAACTGCATGGTGCATGTCCCTGTAATTCTTTATAAAAGATTAGATAAGAGTTTATTTAACTGCATGCCTGCTGGTACTACGACATTGATTAGTGAAAATTGTTTAATGTTACTCAGATGTGTGTGCTTACCACCCACGGTTTCAGAGTAGATTCTAAGGTGTACACATTTCTTCATTTTTAAGTTATTGGACAATTCAAGTGTTTTAGTTACTAATAAGGCAATTTGGATATGAGGAAGCCTTCATCTTGGGTCATTATCTCAAATTGTTGTTTCAGGGAAAAATATCTTATCCATCCCAAGGAGTATATATAAGATTTATTAGCTCAAGATCAGGAAGCTAGGCTATACACACACACACACACACACACACACACTTTGAATCTAGATTAGCACATATCAGGGGCAGATCCAGAGATATTTTCTGAAAGTCTTCCAAATGATCTTTGTTGATCCATCCTCCACTTTTGACCATCTTCTGACAGAAAAATTAGATATCCGGCAATGTAAACTTGAAACTCGATCTGGCCGTCTTCCAGAAGACCCGAAGACGTCCTCAATCTGCCCCTGCAAATAATCATAAAATTAAGGGCTGTTTTATTGTCACATATGAGCAATTTTAAAACTATCTTTATTACTGTCAAAGGGACTTGGTAGGGACTTGCTAAGATAACATGCCTGAGTAGTTAAGCAAAAAATTACAAGCCATGTAATCATCCTTGAGATTTCAGAACAGGGTCACAGTGCAGAGATTATAGCCATCTATTTAACCAGAGACATATCCGTTATTATCTAGTGAAAAAATCAATCTGTGGCCCTGGTAGAGGGTACTCATAATGTATGAATGCATGCCATGGGGTTAATGATAAACATGATACAAGACTGGTTTTGGTTTTACGGTGCCCATTGCACTAATAGCTGTATGGTGCCCCGATACCTGGCCAGGTAACTTGTGGCAAGCAGTCTTAAAACAAATAAAAATTTCACTGACACTCATTTACTCCTCATATCATATTATTCCTCTTTTGTTCTTTTCTCTCTGTTGTCCAAATACCAGTATCACTATATAATTTCGGTTTTATACTGGTTTATTTTATTTCCCAGCTATCTCATTAAAGACAGAAAGAATTCTCAAATTTTTCTTGGACACATTGCTTAAAACACTGATTTTGGATATGGAACCAGTATATAGATATTAATTATTTATTATCAAGCTGTTGTATTACAATAGAAAAGAAATTTGTACTGATTACTTTAAGTATTAATGTTGAATATGGAACCAGCATCTAGAGAAACAGTGAACATTGCAATGCTAATTTATTTGCTGTCAACATGTAACCAAAGTACATTATTATATTACACAATAGATATGCATTGAAGATGGCAGAAAATGAGGCAAAAGAAGAAATGCAGAGTCCACAACATGAACCACTAAAGCAGAGGCATAATGAGAAGAAAGATAAATGTGACACAGAAAGCCTGCTCAAAGCCGAGGAAGGGTAGGTGTAAACATGACATGTGTACTGTTAACTTTATATTTGTTCTGTAGCACACTGAATATTTTGGTATTTTTACAAACTTATGATATCTGCTGAAGTCTACCTGGACACCTGAAGTAACTCTAACACAAGAGAACAATAACTAACCACTGCACTACCTGTGCAGCTCTTTTNCTCCAAGCAGGGGGTAATTATCCTTACCCCCTAGCTTATTCAGTAGGCATGACAGACATTTAAGCCGGTTAGTTGATAGCAATTAAGTGAGACTCCCCAGTGAGTTAGATTGATCCAGGTGGATCTATCTTGTCATGGGAACCCAGTCTTATGTTAAAGGGATAATAACTCTTCGTTTCAGCCAAAAAATGAATTTTCCTGGAGTAAACAGCAATTTTCTCATACTTACCAATGGTTAATTTTTACATTCAAAATTAGTCCCTGGTTTTTTTCTAAAAAGTTTGGTTTTTTGTTAAAATCTTTTAAGAGATTTTAACAGAGTATGGCCATCAATGGAGGTCACGTGGTCTAAAGACAAGCTCAGATATCAGAATTATAGCTATAACTGCCATTTTTGTGGTAAAACAGAATATATTATATTTCTATGAGTTATTCACAATGTTTTTATTGTGAAATACAGATCTCATACGAAGAGTTATTATCCCTTTAATAGAAACATTAAGTATAATTTAATTAAGATAATAACCGCATGCAATCCAGAGCGATTATGTCAACTGAAATCCATCCACTGATCACGAAATTCAATATAATTTGAATACTAATTTACTTTTTCTTATAAGTATATATATATATGTGTGTGTATTTCTGCACGTGTGTGTTTGCACGTAGGCAATGGATGCAAACTGCATGGTGCACGTCCCTGTAATTCTTTATAAAAGATTAGATAAGAGTTTATTTAGCTGCATGCCTGCTGGTACTACGTCATTGATTAGTGAAAACTGATTAATGTTACTCAGATGTATGTGCTTACCACCCACGGCTTCAGAGTAGATTCTTAGGCGTACACATTTCTTCATTTTTAAGTTTTTGGACGGTTTACATGTTTTAGTTACTAATAAGGCAATTTGGATATGAGGAAGCCTTCATCTGGGGTCATTATCTCAAATTGTTGTTTCAGGAAAAAAATATCTTATCCATCCCAAGAAGTATATAAGATTTATTAGCTCAAGATCAGGAAGCTAGGCTACACACACACACACACACACACACACACACACTTTGAATCTAGATTAGCACCATATATCAGGGGCAGATCCAGAGATATTTTCTGAAAGTCTTCCAAATGATCTTTGTTGATCCATCCTCCATTTTTGACCATCTTCTGACAGAAAAATTAGATATCCGGCAATGTAAACTTGAAACTCGATCTGGCCGTCTTCCAGAAGACCCTGAAGACGTCCTCAATCTGCCCCTGCAAATAATCATAAAATTAAGGGCTGTTTTATTGTCACATGTGAGCAATTTTAAAACTATCTTAATTACTGTCAAAGGGACTTGGTAGGGACTTGCTAAGAGAACATGCCTGAGTAGTTAAGCAACCGATTACAAGCCATGTAATCATCCTTGAGATTTTAGAACAGGGTCACAGTGCAGAGATTATAGCCATCTTTTTAACCAGAGACATATCCATTATTATCTAGTGAAAAAAATCAATCTCTGGCCCTGGTAGAGGGTACTTGACAATGTGTGAATGGAGCCAATGATACACATATGATACAAGACTGGTTTTGGTTTTACGTTGCCCTTTGCACTATTAGCTATATGGTGCCCCAATACCTGGCCAGGTAACTTGTGGCAAGCAGTCTTAAAACAAATAAAAATTTCACTGACACTCATTTACTCCTCATATCATATTCATCCACTTTTGTTCTTTTCTCTGTGTTGTCCAAATACTAGTATCACTATATAATTTCGGTTTTATACTGGTTTATTTCCAGCTATCTCATTAAAGACAGAAGGAATTCTCAAAATTTTCTTGGACACATTGCTTAAAACACTGATTTTGGATATGGAACCAGTATATAGATACTAATTATTTATTATCAAGCTGTTGTATTACAATAGAAAAGAAATTTGTACTGATTACTTTAAGTATTAATGTTGAATATGGAACCAGCATCTAGAGAAACAGTGAACATTGCAATGCTAATTTATTTGCTGTCAACATGTAACCAAATTACATTATTATATTACACAATAGATATGCATTGAAGATGGCAGAAAATGAGTCAAAAGAAGAAATGCAGAGTCCACAACATGAACCACTAAAGCAGAGGCATAATGAGAAGAAAGATAAATGTGAGACAGAAAGCCTGCTCAAAGCCGAGGAAGGGTAGGTGTAAACATGACATGTGTACTGTTAACTTTATATTTGTTCTGTAGCACACTGAATATTTTGGTATTTTTACAAACTAATGATATCTGCTGAAGTCTACCTGGACACCTGAAGTAACTCTAACACAAGAGAACAATAACTAACCACTGCACTACCTGTGCAGCTCTTTATTATAGTACCAGTTATGCAAATGACCCAATGCTACAAGTCCAATAAATATGATTGGCTAGTTTACCACTGCCTAACCACTGCAATGCAACACTTTACCGTAATTGTTCGAGATGTTATCACATAGCCATTATGTAAGTTCAACAGTTCCTTTCCCTCTGCCATCAATATATTATTTTCTTAATTTTTGCTCAGCCCTTTTCCCTTTCATTTATGTTTTCATATACAGATGTCATCATGCATTTTCCTCTGTGAAATCCTTAAAGGGAAAACATCTCTGCATATGATTCCTAAAATTACAAAAAATGGAAGTTTCTTTAAGGCTCTGTTCTCACAACTTTTAGATCGATCTATCACCGCGGGGAGTCTCACTAGATTACTGTCAGATAATCCCCCTTAAGTGTCCGTCCCCGCCTACTACAAGCTTTAAGGGGTAATTAACTTTCGTGTCCGCCCGGCTGACAGCGTGAACCCCCAGGGAGTTAGGTCGATCCAATGTAGGTCGATCTAATCTATGAGAATGGGGTGTAAATTTTGATAAGCAGCCTGATTGAATTTTTTTTCTTGAAGTTCTGCATTTTTTCACATGTTAGCATTTATATTGTGCATTTGACTTTGATATCCCACTGACCTGTGTGAAGCCCTACTGTATGTTTGTGCCAATTTTTAAATGAACTTATTACACATTGTACTTGATTCAAAATTGTTGGTGATTATACAGTTAAGCATAATGTAAATATTGCATCTAATTTGACCAAAACACTGCTTTAGGTGCACTCCCAATTGTAAAACCAAGACCTGAAAAACATGTTATTTAAAAATTGGTAGCAGGCATGCAGTTAAGCGTACAGTAATTTTTGCTTCAAAATTGACCAAATCCTATTCTGTGCAAAAGATTTCCATTATTTTCTGTTCATGTCTGTATATTTCACAGCTTTGCTGCCTTATTGTCTGCAGCAGCTTGATGTCCCTCAACTGTGCTGTCTAAACATGAGCTTTGTCTGCTTATAAATACATAATTACCATTCTCACACACTATATTGATTTATTTATTGTCTCGCTGTTATCTTGAAAAATTGGGGGGGAGGGGGGAACCTGCTGAGATTGCTTGAAATACTTATTTTGGTTATGGAACCAGCATTTAGTGACAACAGTGAACTTCTTAATTCTAGTTTATTTGCTGTCAGCATATTACTAAAATACATTATATTATACACTAGCCATACATTGGAGATGACAGAAAAAAAGGCAAAAGAAGAGACAAAGAGTCAACAACACCATCCCCAAAAACAAAGGGATGATGAGAAGAAAAATAACACAGATGGCAAGCTCAAACCCAAGGAAGGGTAAGTGTTAACAAAACTTGTGTATTGTTTATGTTTGCTTTTTCTCTCTGCCATCAAAATGTATATCTTTTTCTTAAAAGTGCGATAACCAGCCTGATTGAATTTTTTTCTTGATTTTTTGTATTTTTTCACATATTAGCATTTATATGGGTAGGGTAGGTCAAAAATGGGTCAACTTAGAAGTGATTAGTTTTTGGTGGTGATCTGGATCAACAATCAATCAAAAATCAAAAATCAATCATCAACATGACATAAAAGGTAATAGACCAATTTTGATGAAATTTTCAGGGTAGGTCAGATATGGGTCAATTTAGAAGTAGTTCGTTTTTGGTGGTGATCCGGATCAGTTATCAATATAAAAGGTTGATGCCTTGGTGGAGGTCTGCACTCTCGGAGTGCTTTTCTTATTTTGGTTATGGAACCAGCATCTAGTGACAACAGTGAACTTCTTAATTCTAGTTTATTTGCTGTCAGCATGTAACCAAAATACATTATATTATACACTAGCCGTGCATTGAAGATGACAGAAAAAAAGGCAAAAGAAGAGACAAAGAGTCAACAACATCATCCTCCAAAACAAAGGCATATTGAGAAGAAAAATAGCACAGATGGCAAGCTCAAAACCAAGGAGAGGTAATTGTTAACAAAAATTGTTTATTGTTTATGTTAATTTGCTTTTTCTGTTTGCCATAAATATATCATATTCTTATAAGTGCGATAACCAGCTTGATTGGATTTTTTTTCATTAACCTTTGTATTTTTTCACATATTAGCATTTAATAATATATTGTGTATGTGACTTTGATATCCCATTGACATACTCTGAAGTGCCAAATAAACGTGCCGGCACGTTTATTTTTTTTCCGGAAATTTTCCACCCGGCACGATCTTATTTTCCCCGGCACGATTAATAATTTTCCACGGGGCACGGTTATTTGGCACTCGCTGTGCCGGTTGGAAATATTGTTGATCGTTTCTGAAATGTTGATGATCGTTTCATTGCACAAGTCAATCATTATTTATGACCTGTCTCAAGCACTACACTCGAACTTGCTTATAGCGTAAATTAAAGCCAGTGTTTCTCCAGAATTTATAGAGCGAGGCGTCTCACTGAAATGGGTCTAAAGCACCGCCTCGCTGGGCTGAATGGAACAACAAAGTATATTTTTACACATGCTAACTGAAAATTATATTTATTTCTAAGCAAATAAAGCATTCTGTTTACATACTGTACGTAATCCCATGCTTCTGAGCACTTGATTTAGTAGTAACAATAATACGCATGCGCCTATGCCATCTCCCTGTGAGTGCCTCGTTTTCGCAGTTCTGTGCCTTATTTGAAGTATAAAAGACTGAGCGAAACGAGGCAACTGCTCTCGACGACATTAGTCACGTGTCACAAATACACTTTCTCTGTCACTTCATCATGTTCCGAAATTAAGACCGCCTGTTGTGTGTTTTTATAGTATACGTTTATTCACTGATAAAAATGCAGAAAATTAAGTGCACTTTGTCGATTTTAAACTTGAAGAAGATTTTCTATTGATTTACGGGTTAGTTTTGTGAAAACAGTAGAGTTGTAAAACTGGGTCACGTCAGTATTTTGCGTGGAAATCCAGGCATTGAATATGAATTTCCATGACTGAATAGAACCATATAAATGAACAAGCAAAGAACTCAAATTGATGATAAGTGTGATTTTTATTATGTACAGACACAGATGTGTCTGTACATATTGCCATCACCTGCGTCTGTCGTCGCCGATCATGTCGCCGTCGCCGTCGCCGTCGCCGTGCACTTTCAGCGTTAACACCATTAGTGGAAGACAGTTTTACTTTTTGGCTTTATATTTACAGAGCTGACTAATATTAATAAAACGCNAATTATATTTATTTCTAAGCAAATATGGCATTCTGTTTACATACTGTACGTAATCCCATGCTTCTGAGCACTTGATTTAGTAGTAACAATAATACGCATGCGCCTATGCCATCTCCCTGTGAGTGCCTCGTTTTCGCAGTTCTGTGCCTTATTTGAAGTATAAAAGACTGAGCGAAACGAGGCAACTGCTCTCGACGACATTAGTCACGTGTCACAAATACACTTTCTCTGTCACTTCATCATGTTCCGAAATTAAGACCGCCTGTTGTGTGTTTTTATAGTATACGTTTATTCACTGATAAAAATGCAGAAAATTAAGTGCACTTTGTCGATTTTAAACTTGAAGAAGATTTTCTATTGATTTACGGGTTAGTAAATCGTATTATTGTTACTACTAAATCAATCATATTTATTGGACTTGTAGCATTGGGTCATTTGCATAACTGGTACTATAATAAAGAGCTGCACAGGTAGTGCAGTGGTTAGTTATTGTTCTCTTGTGTTAGAGTTACTTCAGGTGTCCAGGTAGACTTCAGCAGATATCATTAGTTTGTAAAAATACCAAAATATTCAGTGTGCTACAGAACAAATATAAAGTTAACAGTACACATGTCATGTTTACACCTACCCTTCCTCGGCTTTGAGCAGGCTTTCTGTCTCACATTTATCTTTCTTCTCATTATGCCTCTGCTTTAGTGGTTCATGTTGTGGACTCTGCATTTCTTCTTTTGACTCATTTTCTGCCATCTTCAATGCATATCTATTGTGTAATATAATAATGTAATTTGGTTACATGATATCCCACTGACCTGTGTGAAGCCCTACTGTATGTTTGTGCCAATTTTTAAATGAACTTATTACACATTGTACTTGATTCAAAATTGTTGGTGATTATACAGTTAAGCATAATGTAAATATTGCATCTAATTTGACCAAAACACTGCTTTAGGTGCACTCCCAATTGTAAAACCAAGACCTGAAAAACATGTTATTTAAAAATTGGTAGCAGGCATGCAGTTAAGCGTACAGTAATTTTTGCTTCAAAATTGACCAAATCCTATTCTGTGCAAAAGATTTCCATTATTTTCTGTTCATGTCTGTATATTTCACAGCTTTGCTGCCTTATTGTCTGCAGCAGCTTGATGTCCCTCAACTGTGCTGTCTAAACATGAGCTTTGTCTGCTTATAAATACATAATTACCATTCNTCAATTTGGCTCATGGACTAAATGTAAATATTGCATCTAATTTGACCAAAACACTGCTTTAGGCGCACTCCCAATTGTAAAACCAAGACCTGAAAAACATGTTATTTAAAAATTGGTAGCAGGCATGCAGTTAAGCGTACAGTAATTTTTGCTTCAAAATTGACCTAATCCTATTCTGTGCAAAAGATTTCCATTATTTTCTGTTCATGTCTGTATATTTCACAGCTTTGCTGCCTTATTGTCTGCAGCAGCTTAATGTCCCTCAACTGTGCTGTCTAAACATGAGCTTTGTCTGCTTATAAATACATAATTACCATCCTCACACACTATATTGATTTATTTATTGTCTCGCTGTTATCTTGAAAAATTGGGGGGGAGGGGGGAACCTGCTGAGATTGCTTGAAATACTGATTTTGGTTATGGAACCAGCATTTAGTGACAAGAGTGAACTTCTAAATTCTAGTTTATTTGCTGTCAGCATGTTACTAAAATACATTATACTATACACTAGCCATACATTGGAGATGACAGAAAAAAAGGCAGAAGAAGAGACAAAGAGTCAACAATATCATCCCCAAAAAGAAAGGGATGATGAGAAGAAAAATAACACAGATGGCAAGTTCAAACCCAAGGAAGGGTAAGTGTTAACAAAACTTGTATATTGTTTATGTTTGCTTTTTCTCTCTGCCATCAATATGTACATCTTTTTCTTTAAAGTGCGATAACCAGCCTGATTGAATTTTTTTCTTGATTTTTTGTATTTTTTCACATATTAGCATTTATATGGGTAGGGTAGGTCAAAAATGGGTCAACTTAGAAGTGATTAGTTTTTGGTGGTGATCTGGATCAACAATCAATCAAAAATCAAAAATCAATCATCAACATGACATAAAAGGTAATGGACCAATTTTGATGAAATTTTCAGGGTAGATCAGATATGGGTCAATTTAGAAGTAGTTAGTTTTTGGTGGTGATCCGGATCAGTTATCAATACAAATAAAAGGTTGATGCCTTGGTGGAGGTCTGCACTCTCGGAGTGCTTTTCTTATTTTGGTTATGGAACCAGCATCTAGTGACAACAGTGAACTTCTAAATTCTAGTTTATTTGCTGTCAGCATGTAACCAAAATACATTATATTATACACTAGCGATGCATTGAAGATAACAGAAAAAAAGGCAAAAGAAGAGACAAAGAGTCAACAACATCATCCTCCAAAACAAAGGCATATTGAGAAGAAAAATAGCACAGATGGCAAGCTCAAAACCAAGGAGAGGTAATTGTTAACAAAAATTGTTTATTGTTTATGTTAATTTGCTTTTTCTGTTTGCCATAAATATATCATATTCTTATAAGTGCGATAACCAGCTTCATTGGATTTTTTTTCATTAATCTTTGTATTTTTTCACATATTAGCATTTAATAATATATTGTGTATGTGACTTTGATATCCCATTGACATACATGGAGCCCTATGTTTGTGTCTATTTTAAAACGAACTTATTACACATTGTACTTGATTCAAAACTGGTGGTGGTTATGCAGTTAAGCACAATGGTGATACATGTATTGCATCATATTTGACCTAAACACTGCATAAAGCACACTGCCAATTGTAAATTAAACCAAGACTTGAAAAACGTGTTACATTTAAAAATTGGAAGTAGGCATGTAGTTAAGCATACTGAAATTAAATTTTGCTTCAAATTTGACAAAAAAACTATTCTGTACAAGATTTCTGTTATTTTCTGTTCATGTCTGTACATTTGACAGCTGTGCTGACTCTCTTGCAGTATGATGTCCCTCAACTGTGGTGCCCTAAACATGAGCTTTGTCTGCTTATAAGTACATAATTACCATCCTCACACACTATATTGATTTCTTTATTGTCTTGCTGTTAACTTGAAAAATGGAAAAAACTGCCCAGGTTGTTTGAAATACTGATTTTGGTTATGGAACCAGCATCTAGTGACAACAGTGAACTTCTAAATTCTAGTTCATTTGCTGTCAGCATGTTACTAAAATACATTATCTTATACACTAGCCATACATTGAAGATGACAGAAAAAAAGGCCAAAGAAGAGACAAAGAGTCAACAACATCATCCTACAAAACGAAGCCATAATGAGAAGAAAAATAACACAGATGGCAAGCTCAAAACCAAGGCAGGGTAAGTGTTAACAAAACTTGTGTATAGTTTATGTGTGCCTTTTCTCTCTGCCATCCAAATATCATTTTTTCAATTTTAGTTAAGTCCTCTTTCCTTTAATACATAATGAGAAGAAAATTAACACTTCTCTGATACTTTTCTTTCTTAATCACTGTTAAAGGGATTATAACTCTTCGTATGAGATCTATATTTTACAATAAAAACATTGTGAACAACTCATAGACATTAATATATTCTGTTGTGCCACAAAAATGGCAGTTATAGCTATTATTCAGATATCTGAGCTTGTCTTTAGACCACGTGACCTCCATTGATGGCTATGCTCTGTTATAATCTCTTAATTAAAAGATTATTACAAAAACAGCAAACTTTTTAGAAAAAGAAAAAACAGAGACTAACTTTGAATGGGAAAATGGATTCATTAACCATTGATTAGTATGGGAAAATTGTTAACGCCTGACCAGGAATTTTTTTTTTTTTTTTTTTTTTTGCCAAAATGAAGAGTTATTATTCCTTTAAGGGAAAATTGTGTTGCTTAATAATAATTAATGCTCACAATAACAAGATTATGAAGAGTAATAATATAATAATGATATATTTATTTCAAGTCTAAAATCCATAAAATGTTCAATAGACTGTACAACATAAAATACAAAGAAGTTTATAGATAAAAATGGTTAAGATATATATTATATAAATAAGAGCTAAACCAAATTGTAATAAACAGTAATTAAAAGTAAAAAATACAAGGTTTCTTTAAAATTATAAAATTTAAAATTCATGAATAAAATGTCTTAAAAATATGAGTTTTCAATTCCTTTTTAAAAGATTCTTGAGGTTCTATTTGTCTAATAAAAATTGGCAACTTATTCCACTCTACTGGTGCAGCTACACAAAATGATATGTCACCATATGATTTTAACCTTGATTTTGGAACTTTCAGTAAAAGTTTGTCACCAGACCTCAGGGATCTTTTTGGGCTATAATGTTTGACTAGATCAGTTATATATGGTGGAGCTAGATTATAAAAAGCAGCATGTGTAAAAACTAAAACCTTAAATAAAATTCTGGCCCTAACTGGTAACCAGTGCAGCTGCTTTAAAATTGGAGTGATATGGCAATCCCTAGGCTGTAGCATTAAAAGCCGTGCTGAGATATTCTGGATGTGTTGTAATCTTTTGATCTTATCGTCTGGACATCCATATAATACAGAATTGCAGTAGTCCAGCCTGGAAGTTACCAATGAGTGTATAACAGTAGCAGCAGATGATTGATTCAGATATTTCTTTATGGTGCCAATATTCCGAATGTTGAATAAACAAGACCTTGTGATGTTGGAGATCTGTTTGTCCATTGAAAGTGTAGAATCAAAGTATACTCCTAAATTTTTTACATGGGGGGAGAAAAATGCCATACTAGCTCCAATTTTAAGTTGCAAGTTGTGAGCAAGGCCCTTGTTGTGGGGTTGAGTAATGACTAAAAATTCTGTTTTTCCATCATTTATCTTCAATTTGTTTGAAATGAACCAACCTCTGAGATCTGATATACAATCAACAATGGTATTCACAGACAATGCTGGATCATGGATGTTACAAGATGTGTACAACTGAGTATCATCTGCATAAAAGTGGTAACCTATCTTATGATAACGCAGAATTTCTCCAAGGGGTAACGTGTAAACACAAAACTTTAGAGGGCCAAGAACGCTCCCCTGAGGAACACCAAATAAAAGCTGTGAGAGTTCAGAAAGCACGCCATTTATATTAACTTGATGCATTCTCCCAACAAGATAGGATCGTAAAAGATCCAAGGCCTTATCTCTAACTCCTACACTCTGCTCTAGAAATGTTAATAAAATATTATGGTCTACTGTATCAAAGGCAGCAGACAAATCTAACAGTACCAATAACATAATCATTTAACAAATCATTTTTAATTCTCAAAAGTGCAGATTCTGTGCTATGATTAAATTTATAGACTGACTGCATTTCTTCAACAAGATTGTTTGCTTCTAAATGCTTAAATAGTCTAACTGCTATAACCCTCTCTACTACCTTAGATAAAAATGACAAATTGGAAATCGGACGATAGTTTACCAAAAGATCTGTGTCAAGGTTGTCCTTTTTGAGTAGTGGGTGAATTATTACAGATTTAAACTTTTTTGGAAAAACACCCACAGTGAAACATTTGTTGATGATTTCCACAATCAAATTTATTACAGCCGGAAGAATCTAAACTAATAATGATGATGGGATCGGGTCTAACATGCATGATGTCTCTCTGGAACTGTTTATTATCTTTGTTACTTCGCAAGTGGTTGTTGGTTCAAACATAGTGATGAGTGACTGCGGTTCTTGTAAAAGTTCTGACAAAGGTGGATGCGATGGTGTAGTCACAGTCTTTTCTAATTCAGAAAGTTCAGCGTTGATATTACTGACTTTAGACACAAAAAAGTCACTCATGTTATTTGCAAGATCTTTCACTGAATCTGTTTTGGGGTACTTAGAGCAATTGGTTTTTCCCAGAAAAGTGTTGACAGTTCTAAATAAAGCCTTGGTATCACCATTACATTCTTGTATCATGTCAGAATAATATGTTTCTTTAGCTTCACAGATTAATTTGTTTACATGGCAACATGCTTCTTTATAGATCTGATGATGGACAGTTAATTTACTACTTCGCCACTTCCTCTCCGCCTTCCTTCTGTCTCGCTTTGCCTCCAGAATGTGATCATTCATCCAAGGTTGCAGATCTTTCTTAACAAATGTTTTAGTTTTGACAGGTGCAAGGTTGTCAAGTGCAGTTGTTAATGTCCTGTCATACAGAAGCACACATTCCTCAGGACTCAAATTATCAAAACTTAAATCACCCAGTTGTGATGTAACCTGTCATTGTAATTCATTCACATCAATGCCCTTGATTTTTCTGAACGAGACTTTCTCCTTACTGGGGTGCGGTCTGCCACATCTAAGGGTGGTGTTGGTAACATGATGGTCAGAAAGTAAATGCCCTACCTCACATGATGTTACAAGTGAATCACTTTCCCTAGCCAATACCATTTCAAGCGTATGGCCAAGAACATGGGTGGGATCTAACACGTACTGTGTAAGTCCAAATGAATCAATTAATGAAGCAAACTGCTTGGTTTCAGAAATGTGTTGATCATCCCAGTGTATATTCAAGTCACCGATGATAAGAAGTTTCCCTCGAAGAGGTGCTAGGTACTCAAGGAGATCAGAAAACTCACTGAGGAATAACATTTTTCTCAAATTATTGGTTTTAGATGGCGGTATTCTGTATACTGTAATGATACTCAATGTCACTGATATAGCGGTAACTAAAACCTCATTGTACTCAAAAGACAATGGATCAATCCTTTTTGGCTGTTGGGTTACTGTGAAACTGTCCTGTGAAAGAAAAGCAACTCCACCCCCTCTTCGAATCGTGCGGGATATATGAATACACTGGTAACCGGTTGGGGTAATATTGGCTTGCATATAATGTTGAAGATTGGGTGTTATCCAGGTTTCCACTAAGGAAACTAAATCAGTATTATCATCCTTCACCAAGTCGCGTATGATAGAGCCCTTATTCATCACTGATCTACAGTTCATAAGTGCCAACTTGACTGTGGGTACCTGTACAGATTTTTCAGTTATCACATACGTACTTCAAGTTATGAAAGTTTACACCACTTTGATAATCATCGTTCCCATTTCTTAAGCAAATGAGTAAGGTACACCTCATATGCTTAAGCCAGCCTGATTGGATTTTTTTCTGTAAGTCCTTTTTTTTTTCTCCCACATATAAGCATTTTTATTGTGCATGTGGACTTGATATCCCATAGAGATGAAGCCCTAATATATGCCTAAGTTGAAAATTTTCAATGATCGTGTCACCTAGAGTAAGTGTTGGTGAACGTGCAAGTTATGGCATCAAATTTAACCAAAACCCTGTTGAGCTCATGGCCAATTTTAGCTCCAAGATGATGAAAACCTGTCTTAATACTAGTTTATATGTTGTCAGCATGTTACCAAAGTTCATTATATTACACACTTGATATATGTCGAAGATGGCAAAAAATAAGGGCAAAAAAGTTGCAGAATCAACTACATGATCCACAAAAGCAAACCAAACAAAGGCATAGTTGGATGAAAGGTAGATATATGTATGATATAGATAGCATGTGCAAAAAAGGAAGGGTAAATGTCAATAAAACTTTTTGTACTGTAAACCCTCATTTGTTCATGTTTCTATTTTAAGTATTACAGGTTTTGCTTTACATGTGTATGTGTTTAGGTGTGTGAGAAAGAGCATTGGAGACAATAGAAAAAGTATACTGTCAGACAGAGAGAGGTGGGGAGGAAAAGGTGTGGGGGAATATGAAAAAAATACTAGCAGAAAAAGAGCTTAGGGAAGGTAAATTGGACAGATTTTTCATGCTGAGGTATATCAGTGAGGAAAACAATATGATTCAGATATTGAATTTGGGCTCAAAAGATGTAAGTAGGCTTACTTTTCTTTCAGGTTGGCCGAACCTACTGATAAACATGAACGAAAAGCTCATTCCATGATGACGAAAAGGGCACAGGGCAAAGTCCAGAACATGGATTACAAGAAGTTGGAAGAATTGCTCCAAAGGAATCGGGGTGATGCTCTTCTGTACTTAGCATCACCTGAAAACAATTTTTGTGCGCTTCTTGTGTCTGAAAAGGTGAAAGGTGATCTTCTCCATCTTCTCTTGTCTGTGTTGGTTTATGTAGGCCAGGCAGATCACTTGCGAATGCATCTGATTAAAGTGCTTAACATAACCAATGAATCACCATTGCTTTCATCAGTCGGCCCGGTTCAGAGTTGTATTATCAAGATGGCTTTTGTTCAAAACATCCAGGCTGTCGATGTCAAATTTCTTGGCAACGTAATCAAGTTGGTCCAGTTACTTCTGACATATCTGTCTCGATCCAGTTACCTACACGCTAGCTCTCTTTTACCACTAATACAGAAGGTAGTAGATGGCAAGGCAGACAGTGATAATATTGAGTGCCTTAAAGAACCATTACTGCAAGCCACTCAGATGAAAGATGCTGTTGAAAATGACCTAAGACTTGGGTTTCAAGCACAAGATGCAATAAGCACTCCTAAAGATCTCACAACTGTTCCCAATGATTTTCGTGAGTTTAGTATATTTCCAAGTAGAGAAGACCTTATCACCAATGAACAACCTTTCCTGAGGGCCAACATCGTGAAAGGAAAGTACAGTTCCGTGGATCATTATCTTGATGTCCAGTTTAGGCTGCTGCGGGAAGATTTCATAGCACCACTTCGTAATGGCATCAAAGAGTACTTGGTCAATTTGGATCAGGGCCAAGAACATGCCAGGTTGTCAGATGTTAGGGTATACCATAATGTCCACTTTCTAATGCCCAATTGTGCTAAGAATCAAATCACTTATCCGGTCAAGTTTGATGTGTCGAGGCTCTCCAGGGTCAAGTGGGATTATAGTAAACGACTGATATTTGGCTCCATGGTATGTTTGTCAAAGGACAGGTTTGAAACTGTAATTTTTGCAACAGTTGCTGATAGAGACCCAGAGAAGCTTCAGGAAGGTATTATTGACCTCCACTGTGATGAGGCGAGCCTTGCAGTGCTTGCCACAAGCATGCATGAGGTTTTTGTGATGGTTGAGTCTTCTGCCTATTTTGAAGCATACCGTCATGTCTTGAGGGGTCTTCAGGAGTTGAACCAGGAAAAATTACCCCTTCAAAAGTACATTATTGGCTGTGATAGTGCGCCCAGACCACCGAAATACATTTTAGCTTCCGGCCTGCCATTGGACCTCACCTGTCTAATTGACACAGATGTTGTAGGACGAGAAAAGTTTGAAGCAGTTGACATTTTCAAAGAAGATACTTGGCCAAATGCAGAGATGCTGAACTTAGATGAATCACAAAGTGCAGCATTGAAGAGTGCACTAACCAGGGAATTCTCTGTCATTCAAGGTCCACCTGGAACGGGAAAAACTTACATAGGTTTAAAGGTGGCGAGAGCTCTTCTGGCAAATAGACGAATGTGGGCATTTGAACATGTACAAACAGGACAGAGACAGGACAATGGCAATGGCACCCAACACAATCCTTTAAATTTGTTTGAACCAGAAGAGGGGGACCCAAAAGAGAGAGATGTTAACAGACCGATACTGCTCGTATGTTATACCAATCATGCCCTAGACCAGTTTTTAGAAGGCATTGTAAAGTTTCAACCCGACAAAGTTGCAAGAATTGGAGGAAGATGCAGTTCTGAGGATCCAGTTCTTCAGAACTGCCTTCTGTATAATCTAAAAAAAAGTCATTTAATTGACTGGGAAAGAAAGAGGGAAATTGACAGTTTGCGTGGGAAGCTTTCATTATTGGAAAATGAAATCCATTATTTTACAAACATGTTTCAATCCTCTAGAGTTATTGGATATGGACACTTACACAGCTTTATATCTGAATTGCAACTGCAGTCACTGCTGTATGTTGCAGATGATGTTTCAAGGCCATTTGATTATTGGCTTCATGCTGATGACCTCAAGAAAATTTTACAGCAAGAGATTGAACAAAGGTACCAATTTAAGAATAAAAGTCAGTCTGCTAGCAAAGTTAAAGCAGATATTGATGAAACAAACCCCCAGGCAAGTGATAGTGGTGTGGATGATGGTCACCGGCATTTACCAGGGTCTGAAGAGAAAACAGTCAACCAAAATGAGGGATCTGATGAAGATACAGCAGGTGATGAAACAAACCCAGAAAGTCACAATGATGTGGCAGTTAGGCACAAACCATTTGCAGGGTCCGAAGAGAAAAAAATTGACCACAGTGAGGGATCTGATGTTTCTGAGCCTAGCAACTCAAAAGTAAAATTGTTGGATGAAGAGAAATGTCCAGATGATGATACAGCTGCCAGATTTAGGTCACCAGAGACAATGGGGGAAGAGGTAGATACAAGAAGTGACAGTGAAAGTCAACTTGATAAGGCAAATGGTTATATTGCTGTAAAAGGAGAGGCTGAATTATTAACCGAACAACGTGAAATCATAGAAGGAGAATATGATTTTGAATCAAATGAGATGATATATAACCAGTCCGATGGATTATTAAATGATGCCCAAAATATGGTTGCTGACATGAATATTTTGAAGACCCCACATGAAGCTCAGCATGTAGTAAAACATGAGGGGATAACAAAGGATGCAGAGTTACACACATTTGGGAAACCTTTAAAAATATCAAAAAAAGGGGAAAAAGAAATGCGAAAGAAGATGAAGAAACTTGAACGTGACATTCAGCAGGCTAGCTCTTCTGATGACTACATGACTGAAGATGAGGCAAACAGCATAGAGAACCTTTGGGTTCTCTCCACTGTGGAAAGATGGCGTTTGTATCGTTATTGGAAATGCTTATTTAATAACGACAGTTTTCAGCGCCTTTGGTATCACATCAGAGAACACAATCGTACTCGGCTTGAACTGCAAGAAATGAAGGATGATGAAGATTTCCAGCTGCTTCAAAACATGCATATATTAGGCATGACTACAACTGGGGCAGCAAGGTATCACCACATCCTCAAAAGACTGCGTCCCCGGATTGTTATTGTAGAAGAAGCAGCAGAAGTGTTAGAGTCCCACATTGTGACGGCACTCAAAGAAGAATGTGAGCACTTGATTCTCATAGGAGATCACCAGCAGCTTCGACCAAACCCTGCTTTTTATGTTCTGGCCAAGAAATTCAACCTAGACATATCCCTCTTTGAAAGAATGGTGCGAAACGGTATGCACTGTGACAAACTGGCCATACAGCACCGTATGCGACCTGAGATATCACGTCTTCTGGTGCCTGAAATATATGACCATCTTCTTGATCATGAGTCTGTTTTCCAGTATGGGAATGTGAGAGGAGTTGAAGAAAACCTTTTCTTTATTGACCACAATTTTGAAGAAGAAACTGACCATGATTCCAAAAGTCACTCCAACAAACACGAAGCGACCTTCCTTGCTGCTCTCTGCCACTATCTCATAAATCAAGGTTACAGTAAATCACAGATCACCATTCTGACCGCATACACGGGCCAACTTTTTGAAATGAAAAAACACTTCCCAAATAAATTTGAAGGGATTCGAGTGACACCTGTGGACAATTTTCAAGGAGAGGAAAATGACATAATTCTTCTCTCTTTAGTCCGCAGCAACAAGCAAGAACGCATTGGTTTTCTCAGCACTTCAAACCGTGTTTGTGTGGCTCTGTCTAGGGCGAGAATGGGCTTCTATTGTATTGGGAATGTTACGCTAATGTCACGGCGAAGTAGCCTCTGGGAAAAACTGGTCAATAAGCTGAAAGAACGGCAACAGGTGGGCACTAAACTGACTTTGTATTGTCAAAACCACCCCAAAACGAAATATCAAGTATCAAAGAAAGAAGATTTCCAGCACATGCCTGATGGTGGGTGCGGATTGCCATGTGAATTTCGCTTGGAGTGCGGCCACGTATGTGCACGTAGCTGTCATCCTTATGATGCAGATCACAAGCTGTACAAATGTGAAAAGCCATGTGAAAAACGCTGTGACTCTGGACACAAAACCTGCAAGAGAAAATGCTATCAGATTTGTTCGCCGTGCAGTTTTGATGTTACTGTTCGATTGCCAAAATGTGACCACAAAATTAAAACCAAATGTTACATAGATCCAGCTGACATAGTTTGCCGATTCCCATGCGAACAATATCTTCACTGTGGGCATAAATGCAAAAACTTGTGCTCTGAACCATGTACTATGCATTGTAAAGACCAAGTTTTGAAATATTTACCATGTGGGCACGAGCGTTTCCTACCTTGCCACCAGGATAAAGCCTTTGCAACATGCCACAAAATTGTAGAAAGACAGCTGCCCTGTAACCACGTGGTAAATATTGCCTGTCATACAGATATATGTACATACAAATGTACTGAATTGATGCAAAAAATTCTGCCATGTGGGCATGAGTTTGAAGCGCCATGCTACCAAAACGTAACATGCCGCAAAATTGTAGAAAGACTGCTGCCCTGTAACCACGTGGTAAATATTACCTGTCATACAGATGTATGTTCATACCAATGTACTGAATTGATGCAAAAAATTCTGCCATGTGGGCATGAGTTTGAAGCGCCATGCTACCAGGACGTAACTAACACAGAATGCCCACTACGAATTACTGAAACGCTTCCTTGTGACCACACTCTTGAAATGAAATGCCACGAAAAAAGCGCAGACTTATCTCATCGATGCACAGTCTCTGTAGAAAGATCTTTGCCCTGCGGACACACGGGGAAAATGGCTTGTCATCTAGAAGTGGGACATTACCAATGCAGACAAAAAATGATGCTGACATTCCCAAAGTGCAACCATCAAGTAGAGGTTAAGTGTGCCACTATAGAAAAAGTCTTGTCGAAGGGATGTCAGTTGCAAGTGGAACGAATGCTCTCTTGTGGCCACCAGGTCAAGGCAAGTTGTGGAATGGCTGAAAAGGAATTAGTTGAAGCTTGTCCTGCTGTCTGTAAAAAAACACGTGCTTGTGGTCACATCTGTGAGGGAACATGTGGTTCTTGCAGACAAGGTACCCGCCACATCCCGTGTTCAAGCCCTTGCTTATATGTGTTTCCTTGCGGACATCCATGCAAGGAGAAGTGCAGTGACGTATGCAAACCTTGCTTCTTAGGTTGCGAACGATCCTGCGCTCACCTGACAAAATGCAGTAAGAAATGCAGTGACTTCTGCAAGCGTTGTCCTCTGCCATGCGACTGGAAGTGCTACCATGTCCAGTGTAAGAGCCTCTGCTCCGAAATCTGTTCAGATCGCTTAATTTGTGATGAGCCTTGCCCGGAAAAACTATGCTGCGGCCACCCTTGTATTGGGATGTGTGGGGAACCATGCCCATTGCTGTGTCGAATATGCAGCAGGAAAAGCAGAGTCTTTGCCGGTTTGCCACCCAGGTCCCGCTTTATCAGAGTCCAACCGTGCAACCACGTCATCGAGGTGACCAAGATGGATGCCCACATGGCTCGCCAAGGAGATGTAGTGACACTAGCCCCAAAACGGTGTCCTGTACCAAGCTGCAGGAAAATAATCCAAATATGCCCTCGATATGGAAGGGAACTGAAGACGTACATTAAAGCCAAGGACGAGGCTTCAGCAATTTTAAGATATGAATATTCTCTTTGTCAGCAAGTTCCCAAGTCTGCTAAGTTGATAACAAGAATAAAGGCATTGGATTCTCCAATCTGTGCTGAGATATTTGATTTTTGCAGCACTTCTGAGATCGAAGGTCAAAAAGTACAAATGGATAAAGAGACCTCCCTGATGTTGCTGACAATGGGCACCATTTTAGATGCAACAGACGCCATCAAAAGGTATGGTCACACCTTAGTTTATATTAACGCAGTGTAANGAGGTCGTGGAGGGCAAGGCTTTGGAGGTCGAGGCCGTGGTGGAGGAAGTATGTTACTGTTCAATTGTTACATTACCGTTCAATTATTCTTCACCATTTTAATTTTCCTTACACACGAAGTAAGATAGGGTTAGAAATAAGCACTCGCACTCATTTAAAGATAATGTTTTGCTTCCGTTTACTGCTCATTCTTTACCATTGTGCCACAATTTGAATTCTAAGTCTATTGCTACTCAATGCAATAATTTGACCGCAATGCCAGCGAATAGGGGAAGTCAAATTGATGCTACTTCCCTTGAGTTACACTGACTGTAATGCTAGCAATTGGTACACTGCACTTTAACGTGCAATGCTCAACTCGTCATGGCTATTATCTTGGTCTCTTTGTCTGACAAAAAGTCCATTCTTGTTGCCTGTTATTACACTATATACACATGCACAAAACAGTGCAGCGCATGTGTACCTACCTATCTGTATACTTACATTGTAAAAAATAATCATACCGCCACGTAAGTCAATCAGTATGGCACCATGGGTCATACAATATAACAGAAATAAATTATATGTCTGTTTATCTCAATACCAGGTCTTGTGATGAGAATGTTCAACCAAGAGGACTGGGTCCTTGGAGGAGATAGAAACAACCCATATCTTCCTCAAGAGGGTCAGCCTGATAGAGGTGCTACATATAACTCAGATTACCACCGTGGTGCTGGTCGGGGTAGCCATTTTGCACGTGGTAGGGGAAGAGGTCGTGGAGGGCAAGGCTTTGGAGGTCGAGGCCGTGGTGGAGGAAGTATGTTACTGTTCAATTGTTACATTACCGTTCAATTATTCTTCACCATTTTAATTTTCCTTACACACGAAGTAAGATAGGGTTAGAAATAAGCACTCGCACTCATTTAAAGATAATGTTTTGCTTCCGTTTACTGCTCATTCTTTACCATTGTGCCACAATTTGAATTCTAAGTCTATTGCTACTCAATGCAATAATTTGACCGCAATGCCAGCGAATAGGGGAAGTCAAATTGATGCTACTTCCCTTGAGTTACACTGACTGTAATGCTAGCAATTGGTACACTGCACTTTAACGTGCAATGCTCAACTCGTCATGGCTATTATCTTGGTCTCTTTGTCTGACAAAAAGTCCATTCTTGTTGCCTGTTATTACACTATATACACATGCACAAAACAGTGCAGCGCATGTGTACCTACCTATCTGTATACTTACATTGTAAAAAATAATCATACCGCCACGTAAGTCAATCAGTATGGCACCATGGGTCATACAATATAACAGAAATAAATTATATGTCTGTTTATCTCAATACCAGGTCTTGTGATGAGAATGTTCAACCAAGAGGACTGGGTCCTTGGAGGAGATAGAAACAACCCATATCTTCCTCAAAAAATACCACGCAATCTTTGAGCCCAGGAAAGTACGAAAAAAGAAGGAAAAAAACGCAAAAAACGCAAAAAAAATGCGAAAAAAGGGGCCTCCGTAACGTCGGAAATTCCATGAAAGTGGCCCCCAAGAAAAAAAGAAGTACCCCAAAGTCCCCCCTGGGGGTCGATCCACCCGACGGGCCTTAATTGGTTAACGCGACCTTGACCTATGCGATAATGGGCATGACGTACCGAAAAGACCGAAAGTTGAAAGGAAAAAAAAAAAAAAGGAAATAAATGAAAATGAAGCGCTTATAAAGCAAAGACACGACCGCTGATACAAAAATACCAGTGTTGTTCTTGTTACTGAAATGATTGCAATTTGAAGAAATTACAGTTGAAGTTTTAAAGTACAACTGGTGATTTTTTAAAGATTTTTTAAAAATAAAAAATGAGAAAAACCTAATAAGAAATAAATGAAAATAAAACGCTAATAAAGCAAAGATACGAACGCTGATAAGTGTTGTTCTGGTTACTGAAATGATTGCAATTTAAAGAAATTACAGTGGAAGTCTAAAAGTACAACTGGTGATTTTTAAAAGTGTTTTTTTAAATAAATAATGAGAAAAACCAAGTAAGAAATAAATGAAAATGAAGCGCTAATAAAGCAAAAATTACGAACCCTGATACAGTGTTGTTCTTGTGTCTGAAATGATTGCAATTTAATGAAATTACAGAAGAAGTTTCAAGGTACAAAATACCAAGGTACAACAGGTGAGTATTTTTTTAATAAAAAAAGAAAAATAAGAAACAACTGAAAATGATGCGCTAATAAAGCAAAACTGACCAAACGCTGATACAGTGTTGTACTTATGTGGAAGTTATTACGTAAAACTGGTGATTTTTTTTCATTTTTTAAAATAAAAAATGAAAAAAAAAAAAAAAAAAAAAAAAACAGCGAAGAAAAAAGAAAATTATGACAAATAATAGAATTTGCCACATTCTGGTGTAGTTTGACCATTTGGTAAACGGGTAGACTTCTAGTAAGTGACAATTTAAAGGTACTGCAGGCGTATTTGAAAAAATAATAAGACTGCATTCCCACAGATTTTAGACCGATCTATCCCCGTGGGGGGTCTCACTAGGTTATAAATAGGTTAAAAAACTTTTTAAAAAATGCTCCTCACACCAAAAAATAATTAAAAATTATTAAATAACTTAAGTAAGGTATTTGAAAGTTTTAACAGCATTTGAAGTAACCTGATTGGAGCAGAAATTTAAACTAAAAGCATATAGTTTATTTTTAACTTTTATTTTGATATAAAATTCTAGTTAATTATACAGACGATTTTTCTGCAAAGCATTTCATAAAATAAAGCATAATCCATTAACTTTGAGAAAATTTAAATGAATATTTTTTTCATTTTTAGTTAGAAAATCTACTTATTGATATTAATCCCTAGTCCACATAAATTAATTTTTTATATGTTAATAGTGAAAGGAAGAAGAGTAGAGGGAGAAAAAAGAGCAACAACTGAACAAACATCTTTCTTTTCCCAATAACATCGTTTATTACAGTCAAATACAGAACATATATTACAGTGGCATGCATGTACTTAACAAAAAAACAAAACTATTTTCACTAGTATGTAAAAAAAAGTTATCACCATACAAAAAAACAACAACGTTTTACACTAAAAAAAAAAAAAGTTTTATGTACAGCATAACAGTATGATAGGCCTCCATTTAAAAAAAATACATTTCCACTCTTTAAAAACCAAATTGAAAATATCTAGCAAAAAGATTGACTTATGAAATAAAATATGTTATAGAAATATAAGGTAAGTACATAAACATGTATTCTATCAACACAAAAGTTAATTTGTTCACTTTAAAAAGAACGAAATTTATACAGATTTATAAAAAAAAAAAAAAAATTAAAAAAAAATGCCAACTGATGCTATACTTGACAAATATAACTGTAATTGGTATGCACTAGGACTATGTCATATATTCTACAAATGCAATAAAAATTACAAGTTTTTACTAAGAATATTACAATATCTTTAAAAAAAAATGACAGACTGCAAGAAATGCTGCGAGCGGGCTGCCCAACCCCACTCCCTTTATGAATGTTGGGAATTGTATGGAAGGAAGTGGGGGGGTAGGATTTTTCCATGCTCTGTCCAGCTGAAGTGGAGTTTACTCTCCGTTTTGCCGTTCTGCCTTCATCTGCAGGTAAGTCTACATTACACATGTAACAATGCACAAATATGTACAAAAAAAAATTAATAACTATGCAAATAAAATCACTATGCAACAGTATATAAAAGAGAATATGCACAAGGTAAAAATGTACTCGGATATGTGCCAGGAAATACAAATGTACAATATAAATATACATAATACATTACACAACTAAATAAGGCCTACATCCACGTTGGCCATAAGTAGTATAAAATTTTGTAGCTTGTGCATGATAATCTTTAATTTATGAAAAATACTGAACATTTATATGAGCAAAAAAATAAGCAAATATCAACAAAATGAATTTATATTTAAATATGCCTTGAAATGAGCTATGCAATTAATTTAAAAATAAGTAAAATAAATTATATACACATTTATATACATAAGTCCAAAGTTGCAGAGCCCTATGTCTTCCTTGGCTTGGGAGGGTTTACCAACTTCCTTGCTGCCAACCAGGCCTGAACACTTGGATACTGGGTACCCTCGACGGCAGGACAGAACTCATCAAGACCTAATTGTCCTAGGTGACGACTGTGCCCAGTTTCTTTACGCTTTGCCTGGTTGCAGCGTTTGCATTTTGTAAATGCAGCATGTTTTGCATATCTCCTCTTCCCTTCTCCTGCTGCTGCCATCTTACGCTGGTAAAATAGTGTGGACTTTGGCAGCTTTTCTTCACCCTGTGGACTTGGTGTTGTTACCTTCACCTGGGGTGCTACAGATGGTATGCTGGCAAAGACATGAACAGGGGCACTGGGCTGGGGCAACAGCCTTGGAAGGAGCTCTGTGGGTGCTGGTGGTGTTGCCTTTGGGCTCACTGGACGCCGGAGGGCAGGCAGTAGCTTCTCCTTTGCCATCAAAGGAGGAGGTGGAGGCAAGCCTTGCAGCAGGACCTTTTTTTCGAGCCCCTTTTGCCTGTCATTCCACCTAGAAATAAGGTTAATCAAAGTTACAAAACTGACGAAAGAATGTTATCAAAATTATTGATTGATAAGAAAAAATCTTCTTTAAATGCTCTGTCCTACACTGAAGGAAAAATATTTAAAATCACAACAACAACAAAAAAAAAAAAAAAAAAAAAAAAAACGCATTGAAATATCTCTTCAGTAGTAATATTTGTTCCCACACATTACACTTTTGATATGTAGTATTTTTACTGACAAATCAACTGAAAAAACACTTAAAATAACTGAAATAATGTACATGCTTAAAAAACTTAATAAAATTATAACCATTTCAGCAGTGTCGTCTGGTTGATTTCATACAGCTGGATGTTGGTTTGGCTCATCAGTCTATCATGCAAGGTGACAAGGTTCCGGATGTGGTGGTATTTATCCAGGATCACCTTCCATCTTGATGCCGACTGTCGTCCACGCTGCTTTTTAGGCGATGGGCTGTTACGCTCAAGGTGAACACATAAAGCTTCTACCAGTGGAGAAGCATCCACTGCTGTGGCAGGGCCTGCTGATGCTCCCACCATTGCTCTGAAAAAAAATGGAAAAAATAAACTATCCTCCTTTCACATTTGGAAAGATTTTGTCCCTAATTTTGCTCTTTGAAGAAGTAAATTAATCACAAATGACAGTTTTTTGCAGTTATTTTTAAAGGGATTTAAACTAGTTGCGTGCATAACTTCATCATGTTGAAATTTAGAAAATGAAATAAAAAGTCTTACCTTCTCAAGCTCACAATTCCCTGTTGTCCTGACTGCTTTTTGGGGGAGGGCTTCTTTCTTCTGAACCGACCAGAGTGTTGTGTGTCTGCTCTATATCTTGATGGGTACTGCACCCTTTCATCACGTAATCCTATAAATCACACAAGTTTACTGTACACATAACCAGATCAGAGTCATGAGAATGTTAATACTACATTACATGCATTGTTTCCATCATGTGTTTTATGCCTATAAATGCCATCTCAAATGAACAACATGTACCTGCAGGCAGTTTCCCCCAGAGAGATATCAGGTTGTCTGCTGCAGCCTCTGTCATAGTTGGTGCATTATGTAGAGCAAACAAGGCCTTTGCTAGATCTTGGATGGCCTTCCATCCCACCACTCCTTTTGGTCCAATGGATTCCTGCAAAAATATAACAATAATAATAAGAAGAAGACAAATAAATCTAAATAAAAGATTGATAAATGAAAAAAAAAGTTCCACAAATAATTTCTCAAAATAGAGCATGTTTGTATTTATGTTTCTTATTTATCAAAAACAAACTGAAAATAAGTTGTGTTAAGATTATAAACTCACTGATTGCTCTGTGCTCTGTGTTTCATGGGTAGGGTCGTGGCCAGCCACTTCCTCCCCATGTGGCACATCACCTGAAAATGAGAATAAATATGCCCTATTTTATGACCTCTGACTTTAAAGATGTTTTCTGTGATAAGCAACAGCATGCATAGTATATTACCCATCAGCCAATCAGTAGACAAACGGGGAAAAAAACATTAACAGCAAAACATGATCAAGTGAACATTTAATCACTGTATCATCTGTATGAAAATCATCATCATACCTTCATCCATCCCTCTATTTGCTTCTGGGTCATGAGTATCTCCACTCTCCCCCTCCACCGGGTCATCAGCTAGAAGCAAATAAATGAATTAATAGTATAAGCTACTCTGAGACAGCACTAGCAATCTGAAAACAATTGCATGCAGGGAACAAAAGATAAATAGACTGCATAACAAAACAAATTGCAATCATCAAAATAATTCCGGTTATAAAATGAGTTAATCAACAAAAACAAATCATGCATACCTTTCCTTCTCCTCTGAGCTAAGATCCCAACAGTGGGATCCTGCTCCTCATCTTCCTCATACCCCTCATCTTCCTCTTCTTCGTCCTCCTTGATGTCGTCCACTGTGTCAGGATCAAGGACTACTGTGGAGGTCCACCGTCTACCAGTTTGGCTATACAGGTACTCCACCCCTATCATTTCCCCAGTGTACTGTAAAGGAGGACGGAAAGAGGGGTCGATAGGCTCACCATACACCTGGGCACTGGCTCTGTTCAGTTCCAGCTGAACAGCACTGTTGTAGAAGTGCCCAGATTCCCGCCCCTGTGCAGCCTGCTCCCTGTCTTTGTTCCAACGCACAATGCCCTCCAAAAGGTATGCCTGGAAATGGCTGTCGTTGGCGACTGTACCTGTTTGAATAGTGCAAGTGAATGTAAGCAGCTGGCATTATAGATCTTATTATCTTATATTATTTTATCAAATAAACAAAGAGTTTCTCTCAAACTTTTCCAATCTAATAATAAAAGTACAAATAAATAGGTAGAATGCCTTTGATTTCAGTGAAACAATATCTACATAATATAATATGAAAATAAGAATTTATTTAAATGTTATTTCCCTATAACATACCTGGTATGAATCTGACGATGTGATTGTGAAAGGATTCCAAGGATACAGAGCCTCTTGCACAGCGGTAGATGGGCAATTCAATGCCTCCCTTTTTCAGTGTCCTGGTTTGCGTGTAGAGGTTCTTGCCCTCAAGATCCTTCATAATCATGATATGTAAAAGAATTACAAAAATTCATCAGATGAACTTCAAAGTTTTTAAAAGCTGCACTTATGAGGATCTAGATAAAATGAATACATGAACAAAATGCATTATACTTGAAAAAATGGCAGAAAATTCAAACTTAACAACTTATATGATATAACTGTCATATTTGGTGTCTGAAAGAAAAATCTAGGGTATATTTCAATTAATTTGTATATGTTTCACAATTAATAATTTATCCTACCTGAATACACGACAAATGGCGTTTTTGCTCCTCCCAGATCTGGGCTGCTAGGTCTGCATCCAGCACAGGTATACCCATGGTGTCCTTGCCAGACTCAGAGGAGAAGGAGGACAGCAGGTTGTCTATGAGGGATCGAGTCTGTTCAACCCCTCGAGTTCTACGCTTGCAGTGCAACTGAAGCTCTTTCTTGGTAATATGAAGATCAAGATCAGCTTCAGAAGCACGCCACACACCACTAGAGAGGAGTTCAGCCTCCTTTGCCGCACGTAGCCGCGCCACATCCTCTGGATCAAACTCAAATATACACCCTGACAGGCGACCCATGAAAGCGGCATATAGAGCATGACTCTCAGAGGTGCAGGCAGCTGCAATACGACGCATGAAGTGCCAAATGTCCAATCTAATGTTGAGTGACTCCCACTGGTGGAAAGACAAGCGAAGTCTCTCAGAGCAACAGTCACGATCTACATACAACAGTGAAGGAGGTGGAACTCCTGCTGCTGCATACCTACCCATAAGACCCTCTGCCATCACATCCAAGCCAATGCCTTCTGAATCGGTAAGGACAGACATGAGGACCTGGCCAAATTCATTCCCCACATTGGTCACCCAAGATGCCGTGCCACGCGCATGTCCACCAAGCTTTTTGGCAACCTAAAAGGAAAATATAAAGACATTACAGTAAACCATTTACTAGAGGCACACAAATATTGTTACTTATCATCAACTATCAAATCAGTTTGTCATGGTGCACATATTACAATACTGTTTAAGAGGCAGACCAGTTCCCTGGGTGTGTCCAGCAAGCTTTTTGGTCTCCTAAAAGATAGAAAATAAATGCTTTAAAGAAAAACTTCAATATCGGCCTAAAATGATCATAGTTATTTAACTTTCAAAACCACCTTTAAAAAACAAAAACAGATGTAAAAAAAAACATACTGTATGAAACATCTTTAATGAACTTGGACAAAATGTTTTAACTCTTATTATGGTCAAGTTAACTTCATTAAAAAAATGTTAGTGGAAGGTAAAACAAGGAAAATAAATAACCCACTTTCTTAGTTGAATCCATTTTTAATACGTCACCAAATGTTGATGTGATTTGTGCCTTGTTGTCATCTAGTCTGGTGAACACATCCTTGAGGTATACTCCCAGCAACCAAGGCACTTTGGGAACAGGAGGCATCACTGGAAGCTGAGCACTGGGAGGGAAAACCGTCACCATGTGCCCAGCTGCCTGGAATGACTCCCGAGCCTGCAGATACCTTAGCTGCCGGAGAGCATGTGCCTCTCGGTGTTGCTCCTCAACCTGGTGCATAACTTTGGTGGCCGAGTTGCCCAGGGTCCTCTGTCTAAGGAGTCGCACCACCTTTAAGTCGCATGTGTACCTGAAATCCAAATAATTTTTGTTACAGCAAAAATTGTGTCTAAATCATGCCCAACATTCATAGGTTAGAGTTTTTTTTTTTCTATTACTGTCAACAAACAAACAGTGCAAGTTACTATTACTGCTTCCTATGATGAGCAATCTGACAAAATAACAATTAAACTAGAAAACTAATTACTTCTCATCTTACCTAAATGTCAGCATAGCTGGAAAGTAGCTTCTACGCCCCAGGTCTAGCTGGTCAAGGACAAGGGGGGACCAGCTTGCAAACTTCCTTTTGCAGAATTTGCATTCTAGGTACTCGCATCCTATATAGTACCAGCCATCTACATCTAGTACTTTTCTGACTGTTTGGTAGAGCCCTGCCAGAGTGAGGTGATACTGCAACACAAAATAAAACATTAAGTAATTTCTTAGTGCTAGAAAAAAAATAAATAAAAAATGGACAGTCACTGATTAACTCAACCTTAAAAATTCAACTTAATATATTTCTATCTCATTAAATACAACCTTTATTTTTCATAAATATAAGCCTTAACAAATATATACATGTTATATACAAATGATGGAAAGAACGAGAACAAATTGTGTTTGTACTTAAGCAGTGTTTAAGGTTAGTCATCAATTAAAATATGCTGATGTGAACAAACCGTGGTCTTCTTTGCTGCCTGCTTCGCAACACACTCTGGGTGGCATTTCAGCTTCAGGTTCCACACTCGAAGTGGTGCCCACAGGAAAAACGGTCGTAGAAAATAGGGATCTGGGGAAGATGGAGGAACCCCGTGGACCTGCAGGGGCTCTGGTGGATAATGCCACATGGTCAGCTTAGGAGCCAGCTCCCGCTTTCCAGTGACAGGATTTACCCTGAACAGGACCTTGGCCAGCCAAGCCTGATCAGGGGGGGGCAGCGTGTTCTGCCATCCCTTAGGCAGGGTCACCTGACAAGAAAAAAACAGATTTTACATATTTAACAATTAGGTGTGTGTTTGTGTGTGTGTACTGTAATCTGCGAAGGCAAAATTATGAATTAAAAAATCTCATCCATATAATTTTCAAAGATATTTTTGTATGCTTATTAACCTCTGTTTCTGCCTCCATCTGGGATGCCGACGCACGTGCCTGCATGCGCCGGACTGTCATGGCTTGTAAATCCCTCGTGGAGGTGGAAATAGCTGATGCTAACAGAAAAAAATATAATAATAATAATAAATATATATATATATTCTTGGCATCAAGGATGACACACATGTAACATTAAACAAATTAGATAATAAAAGCAGCTCAGCAGAGTCTTAAACATCCTAAACTACCAATTTTCAATCCAATTACAGGCAGGATATGTATACACAGTACTGTATCATAAAGATTATAATATTCAAAAGAACTTGCAGGGAGACTGCTTAAATTAATCAGCAATACATACATGTTGCCTGTGGCTCTGGAATTGCCAGCAATTCCTCGTCAGTCACCTCTTGTTCTACAAAATTAAATAATACAAATAAATGAAAAAATATTTACAATATTCGAGTGAAACAATGTTTAAAACCTTTATTTATCACAATAGGTGTTATTGGGAGATTATTATTTCACACATAAGAATATCTGCCTATTCACAGAGCTTACTTAATAATAGAAAAATGTTGCCTCATATCAAAATAATTTTTACAATATTAAATATTACCTTCTACAATGTTTGGTGCATCAAGGCGTGGCAGCTTCACAACCCCTGGGTTAACTGCTGCACGCCTCTTCAGCTGCTCTTCTTTCTTCAATTCAATTGCCTCTTTTCCCTCAGGAAAGGATTCCATGTATTCCTAAAGAAATTGATTCAGTGTTTAAAGTGCTGATATGATGCTGTTCATATAATAAGAAAAATTAATCATTACCATATAGAGTTCTAAAATGTTACAGGCCATCTACACCTCATTTCCACATAATAAAAAGTATACACAATATGTCACTAAACATATCCTCATTTCAATCAATCAAAGACAAATAAACAAATGCAAAAAAAAAATCAATTTTCAAATAACAATATCTATCCACCTAGCTAAGTTAAACATAAATTTACAGTCACTGGGTACCTTATATTTTAAAATATCACATATATTTTTTAATAACATTTCATAGGTCTCTTTGTCATACCTTCAAACTAAATTTATTCTCACTGAGAGGTGTGTCTGTCTTGGTTTCCTTGCCTGTCGAGGACACAATCCAGGCAGCATAACCAAGGCTGTTCTCTAGCAGCCACAGGAAGGTCTGGCCCCTGTATTTACCAAACTGCAGCACATGCTGCCCCAGTACAGCAGTGCGATTCCTGGGATCACCCCCCTTCTCCCTCACAGATGCCTCAGCCTTTGCTGCCACCTCTTTCCCACTCAAGCTCTTCACTACAGGTGCTATCTTGTTCCTACTTTCTACTGATCTAGCTTCTACTGAATCTGCTAGTCTAAGTCGTCTATTGCTAAGTCTAGTAAAAACTGGATTCATCTGTAATTTAAAGAAAAATATAATTACTTAAGTAACACATAAACAAATTACTCAATCTCAGTTCCAGCATAATTATCCCTAGTGTAATGTTATCAATTTATTCATTCATAGCAATAATTTATATTCATTAATATCAATTATAACAAATATTCATTTTAAATATGCAAGAAAAAGACTATCCTTTCAAACAATTTTAAGTTGAGTCAGAAAAGGCATATAGTGACTTAATTATAGTATTAATCTATAATATAAATTTCAAATTAAGGCATTGCAGTTAACTTAATCTCTGGACATTTAAATAAATCCAAGGAATAGGCTCTGTTCACCTTGCCAAGATAGAATTAAGAGATGGTACCTTAACAAAGCAATTAACAAACACCCTTCTAAGAAAAGAAAGGCACACAGGTGACCATTAACTGTCAACAGGTAGTTCTGGGGTGCAATAATTAGGTGTTATCCATACAGAAGAGGGGGGGGGGGACACAATAGACTGGTGTAATTGATCACACACTTGTACACATATGCCACCATTCATCAATATACAAATTCACACAGTGCAAGATTTACCACTAAACAACTGTAAGATCACAAGATGTGAAGGAAGTAAGGCTCCTACTCACACAATGTAATTTAAACCCATTGTTTGTTTTTCATTGCCTGAAACATTTCCCAGCACATCAGCAGCTGCACTTGGAGGGGGGTCACAGGCAGATGAACAGATAACATAACAAGGGGATGTACTTACAAAGGATTAAAACTATGGGGAAGACACAAAGTGTGTTTTCACGCATGGTTCCCTAGGGTTAATTGACCCAATGTGAGCAATCATAAGAAAGAAACAACCTTATCCAAAACAAATCCATGTACACATTGTGGGAAATTGCTATGACCCCCCTCCCCCATTTATCATTATTATTAATTTGATTTAAGTTTTAAAAACCTTCAGCATAGAGAAGCTCAAATATAACTAAGCATGCACAAGCCATTTACTAAATAGAATTGGAAAATTTAAAATCAATAACATAAAGAAAGAGATGTACTACATATGGGCCTATAGCTCCCCCCCCCCCTCCAAATTATCAGTATGATTAATTTGATAAAGTTTCGAAAACCGGGGTGGAAAACCCTCAGCACAGAGAAGCTCAAATATAGCTAAACATGCACAAGCCATTCACTAAATAGAATTGGAAAAATTTAAATCAATAACATCAGGAAAGGGATGTACAACACATGGGCCTATAGCTCCCCCCCCCCCCTCCAAATTATCAGTATGATTAATTTGATTTTTTCAAAAACATGCTGTATAGAGAAGCTCAACTATAACTAAAGATGCACAAGCCATTCACTAAATAGAATTTAAAAAATAAAAAGCAATAACATAAGGAAACAATAAACAAAATTAAAAATAAATAGTAAAAAAATTACAACACTCACTGTCAATTAAAACTGAGTGTGGTGAATATAGGAAGGGGGTAATTTAACAAGGGAACATCACACTAAATGGATGTTAAAAAAATGATAGTCTGCTTTCAATTGACCAGGGTTAATATGGATATCAGTAAATATTGGTATTGTTAATACCCCCGGCCCCCCCCCCCCCCGCTTTTAGGCTACCGTGACCGTAAACAGCACATGTGCACATGATTTTAATTATATAATCTTTCGTAGCACACATGTACCTAAGTGAAAATACATAAATTCTTTTTTTCTAGCCTTACCTTCTGCATATCGCAGCACATAAACACGCACGCACAACACTACCGTAAGCTGTCAGTGAGAGCCCCCCCCTCCCGAAAGCCCCTGCCCAGACTAAAAATCGCCGTAACTTTTGATATTCGATTGTTTACGCAATTTTCGAGTGCGAATGGCAATGTTACCTAATTTTTCTATCGAATGAGATCGATTTACCTTGAGATCGTCCTCTTGTTTAGCTGCACGGCCCGTCAAAAGTTGCGAAGCGAGGAAAAGCGTCCACCATTACCAAAGTCGGGCTGTGTCATGACGCAAAACGAGGTCGAGGCCGGTTGTCAGAATTGGAACGTAGGGGCCACCTGATTGGTCAATCGAGGTTCCAATTTCAGTGAAATTGGAACCAGCGAAGAGACGTGATTGGCCGAGGGGGGTTCCAATTTGGCTCCGATTTGCCTGGCCAATAAGCGCAAGAGGGTCAGCCTGATAGAGGTGCTACATATAACTCAGATTACCACCGTGGTGCTGGTCGGGGTAGCCATTTTGCACGTGGTAGGGGACGAGGTCGTGGAGGTCTAGGTCATCGGGGTAAAGGTCGTGGAAGACGAAGTACGTCGGTGCTCAATCTTTAACACAGCCAATCAATCTTTATTATTATTTTTTGCAAGGTTTTAGTTTGCCTAATATTTCAAGTTTTTTCATCATTTGTGGAACTAATTCACTGTACCATATCTGACAGATACACACTGTAGTGAAAGTGAAAATTTTTTATATTTCCAAATGTTCATTGAAGTACGTCTCTTCTTTAAAAGTAACTTTTTTGAAAGACAAGACAAGCTTGTAATATTAATTAAGTAATAAGCAATTATTAAAGGAATAATTTGATTTATTACAGGATAAGAAAGAGTACATTTTACTACTGGCACATCAAAGTGGACTTTTGACAAAAATTGAGGATAAACAGTACCTTTATAAGGCAATTTCCAGACGAAAAAACAGGGATAGCTATGAAGAAGTTTCAAACATGTGCCAGGCGGTGTTTTACACAGTGAGTCCCACTTATATTGGGAGCACGTTTTCAGTAACGATACACTAGCACTATCTTGGGTTTATTTAGATCACACTTCTACGCAGTTTAATATTTAAATGCATATATGTCATTATGAATTATTATTACATATTACTTTAATAGGCTTTCTAATTTTAAATTAGTTAATCTTAATTGCAAACAATTGTATTATCGGGAACGTCGTATGAGACATGCATTGAAGTTAAGGAAACATGTTTCACTCATGTTTAGTTATTATTATGGTTATTGTGCATTCTTTTTTCTTTCAATGTTCTGAGTGCACATTTTTTGTAAGAGAATGGATGGGCCATAAAGGCCTCAAGTTGAACAAACTTTCCTTCTTTGAAGACGATTGCGTAAGGCAAAACATTACCAGTTTTTCTGCTTGTGTTTTCATAGGTGCAGTTGGTTGTAGTGATCAATTAATTGTACAAAGCACGCCAAAAATAACAAGTAAGGGGATTAGATTCATGGATAGATGATTATTTTAGAAAAACTTGATCTATTTCATTTGTGCAAAAAAAAATGAAATTGAGAAAATAGTAGAGAAAGGGAGATTGCACATTCTCAAAATTAGCTAATTATTTAACCACATTCATTTATACAGCACGTCCAAAGTAACAAACAGGAGTGAAATGTCATCACTACCATTAAATGTCCGTTTCACTTGAAGCAGAGTATTATATTATATTATATTATATTATATTATATTATATTATATTATGGAAATTAGTAATGATGATCAAATATTTCTTTCTGTAAGTTTACAGAATTTTTTTACGACAATCACATAGTAAACAGGCCTATACCCATAGTTTGTAACACTTAATTAATGAATTATTATATACATGTATAATCTCTACGAAATAAATTGAACATTGGCTGGATGATGTTACTCTGGTGTCTGTTCAATGTTTAAAGCTTTTTACTGTATAGAAAGAGAAAAAAGAATAATTAGTTTATAAGATCTGGCCAAAAATATCGGTATAGGTCTTTAAATGGACATGCTATTCATTTTTTGCGAGTGTAAAATATTGGGAGTGTTATGGACTCTAAATACCCAAAAGCAATTACTTTTTGGTCCCTTAACTCCACATTCCTTGCCAAAATCCCATGATTTGAAGAATTAGACTGAAACTTTTTTCCTGTCGATGTTGTGAGCCTTCCAGCCAATAGGGCTTGTCAAATTGACGCCTACCAGTCCCGTAACCAGCAATTTCAAAAGGGTGGGGGGGTCCTTTTTCTGAAAAAGTGGACCTTTTATCATGAAACCTTCATGTATCTGGATTAAATTTTACCCAGAGGGGACCTTTTCCCAGCAAAAAGGGGTGTTCTTCGTAAAGATTCCCCGTAACGCATACAGATCTTTACTATCGGTTTCTTAGAATGACATGCCTCACATATACCAATTCTATCACTCGGTCAGCAAAAAACCAAACTCAAAAATTAGGCCCTGCGTCTGCTTCAAATTTCTGGACTTACATGTACTGTACTTATCGTTCCAAGAGTCTACGGTACATGTACGGTAATCAGTCAAACTTTCAGGTCCATATTTTTCCAAACACAAAAGTTTATTTCTATAAAAATAGCATAAATTTTGTGGTGCTTGTACTGCATAGAATAAAGCTATAGAGTAGCATGCATCCCCCCCCCCTCCCCCAATTGAAAAGCTCGAGTTATTACAGTCTTCTTTGTCACACTCGAGTGTTGGGGTGTTGATGACGTGCTGCGTAAAGGAGGCGTGTCAGACAATTAACCTGATTACGTTATCAGATTCATAGTGGTTCTTAATATTATCGGCCCCTCCCCCTCCTTTAGGGTCCTGGATACGCATACGTAATTTTAGAAATTCAACGAATGGAAGATTTGAAGATCTATATAGTTGGCAATTAACCTAATTACATTAACTGCAGGCTTGGGTCGATCCAGCTAGGGTTTATCTGATAATTCTGATTCATAGTGGTTCTTAAGAATATCGGCCCCTCCCCCTCCTTTAGGGTCCTGGATACGCATACGTAATTTTTGAAATTCAACGAATGGAAGATTTGAAGATCTATATAGTTGGCAATGGGAAGGGTGCCGAAACAGCGTACCAAATTTAAGTACATGTAGGCCTACTTGTAAATTGTATATCGTTTAGTAGAAGTCACCTGAGGGATGAGGTAAATTCCATACATGAATTCTTATCTCGGTTGACAGCAGAGAACAGTGCACTGACTGAGTTAGAATTCAATCTTTGACCCTGGTACAAATTGAGTAAGCTCCGTTTCAGACTAACTTTACCTTAAACAAACAATATTATCGCATTTCTAGTAATGTGTATGACGCATGGTGTAACCTGGATAATATAATAGGTCGATTGACCGCGCTATTAGTGTATATATATATATCAAAATGAAGGAATAGATCAATTTGTTTATCTAGGACTTCACCGGAATGTGCAGTGTGTAGGCCTACTATATATATTTGGTTTTGTTTTCTCTCGGAACTTTTCAAATAAACATTTACAGAGGTTTTAGGTGGTACCGGTAGGCACCCCCCCCCCCCCAAAAAAAAAAAAAATAATAATAATAATGATAATAATAAAAATAAGAACAACAATTATAATAGTAATAGTGGCCTTCCCGTTTGTTAAATAACCATTTCAACGACGTCGGTTTTTGGTCACATCTGAAATATTACTCTCAATCCAGATTTTGTGGGTTATTAGAAAATAAAGACCGGTTAAAGGGCTCTTAAATTCAAGAGCAAATAAGGGCGAAGTTAAAATAGCAAATTAAAGCGGGGTGAGTGTGGAAAAAGTGATAAAAAATTTAACGTAATGCAAATAATTCAGTTTAACCCTCCAGACTTTAAGTATTGGCCACGACAGATGTTATTTTCCCAGTTGCTTTCGGTTTCAGGTATTTAATATAGCGTAAGAGACCCAGTTCTTTGAATCACTTCAACGGATCCGGAGGGCGTTTCTTTCAGCGAAATACATTTTATAGTGCTCCGTGTGCTATATATTTCAACGCGCTATAATATCTGTCACACACAGAGGTATACGTATTGCAGAGGGAGACAGGAAAAACCTGACGCAGTGGGATGGATGAAAGCTTCTCAAACCAGCCAGACTACGAAAGCGAAAGGAAGTGACAGTGACTCGTTCTCACGGTTTAAACGTAAGTCAGTCTCTCTCTATCAAAGAAGAAGAATGCACAGGGTATGAGAACAGAGGCCTAGTCTGCAGGGGGCGGGGTGTAAATGACGCACACACTCACTAGCATTTTTCTCGGCCTACATTTCTACTACCCTTGCTTCGCTATAACATCTTTGGAAAACCCTTGACCTTCAAAGTCACGTATTTAATGTGTAATCAAGCATATGCAATCCAGATCGATTTCGTCGACTGAAGTCTGTCAACGAATCACAAGTACGATTTTAATACTAATTTACTCTGTCTATCTCACTCTCTCTCTCTCTCTCTCTCTCTCTCTGAGTGTATGTGTTTGTGAACAGACGACGGTGAGCGTCATTCTATTTCTATTTGGCGTGTAGTCAGAGTCAGTTTAGCGTATATACCATGCATTTATCGATTTTCTACTGTCCATGTAATCGTAGCACAGTTGAAGGGGATTCCCCTTTTATCAGGTTATATTTGTCCCACGGAATAATTTAAATAATTTTTTGTTTCGATTCGTAGACAAGCTGCCACGTTAAGCCAGCTACTTGTTAGCACTCCGATTAGTGACAGCTGTTTAATGTAGGTATTTATGTCTCCTTGATTTAAGCTAATTTGAATATAACGACATGTTGATTAAGTAATGTGACAAACTCAAGTATGATGTTCGAAATTTGGCCGGTGACGGCCGCATTTATTGAAAGTCCCAGTACTAAGAGAAATGAAGCAGACTAATAATAAACACTGAAAAGTGTTGACAAATGACATTTAACATTAATGTGTGCGCCTGAAATATCTACATTTAAAATAAAATTTCCAAAAAAATAGTGCACACATTTCAATTTGTGGGGTTGCAAAGAGGCCCTTTTTGTTCTGACTCTGTTGGGTATTTTCGTTACCTGTGAAAGCCATTTTTAAATTATATACTTAAAATGTTCAATTTTTGTGTGATTCTTGAAGGCGCACAAAACGAAAGACAACCAATGAAAATAGTTACCATGTAGCGTGTAAATACTTTTATTTTTATTGTTTGCTGTCCGTTTAGTTAGCAAAAGCCTTATTCTTACGGTATACTACATTACAATAAGAAGGAAAAGCGGGGCAAGTAAAGATTACTTGTCTTCAAACCGTTTGTTGAAATTGTTTATATGATACATACGTCACCGATAGGCCTACATACGTTACCAAAAATTTCATTGTTTGTTCTCTGTTGTCGCAAATCTGGTGTTGCGTGCGACGTTGTATATGTGCGCACGCATGTTATTACGTCGCTCATTCTTCTTTGTTACGTTAAAATGATACATACGTTACCATAAAGCGTGTAAATATTTTTTATTCTATTTTCATTGGTTGTCTTTCCTTTTGTACGCCAACACTTTTTTAATGAAACAAAAATAAAAGACATAAGTGTTGGCCCACAAAGCGAAAGAAAACCAATGAAAATAGAATAAATATTTACACGCTTCATGGTAACGTTTGTATAGGTAACGTATGTATCATTTTATCGTAACAAAAAAGAATAAGCGACGTAAAAACAAGCGTGCGCAAATATACAACGTCGCACGCAACCACAGAGTCACGACAACAGAGAACAAACAATGAAATCAGAAAACAATACCTTCACGTTATTCGATAACGTATGTATCGTATTTACGTAAGAAAAAAGAATGAGCGCCGTAAAACGTAGTGCGCACAAATACAAAGTCACACCCACTCACAAAGTCGTCACAACAGAAAACAAGCAATGGAATCAGAAAACAACACCTTCATATTATTTGGTCACGTACATATCGGTAACGTATGAATCAAATGGACAATTTTCACAGATAGTTGAAGGCAAGAAATCTTATTTGTCTCGCTTTCTTTCATTTTAATGTAACATTAAGACATAAATGCTGGCCCACAAAACGAAAGACAACCAATCAAAATAGAATAAATAAATATTTACACGCTTCATGGTAACGTACATATCGGTAACATATGTATCATATGAACAATTTTCACAGATAGTTGAAGGCAAGAAATCTTATTTGTCTCGTTTTCTTTCATTTTAATGTAACATTAAGACATAAGTGTTGGCGCACAAAACGAAAGGAAACCAATGAAAATAGTTACCATGTAGCGCGTAAAAAAATTATTTTTATTGTTTGTTGTCCGTTTTGTGAACAAACGCCTTATTCTTACGGTATACTACATTACAATAAGAAGGAAAAGCAGGGCAAGTAAAGATTACTTGTCTTGAAACCGTTTGTTGAAATTGTTTATATGATACATACTGTTATGTTCCTTTACATATACATATGAGATGAATGTCCTAAACTTATATAATTTTGTACGCTTAATTCAAGCGTGGGCTCGAAATAGGACATTACGTTTTAGTCTTACTTAGTGGATAACGCGATCCAAAGATTCCACAGTTCGTGTCAGATTTACGTAAGGTCGCGCAAAGAAAAACCAAGTCCACATAATGACCAGTTTAATGGTTTATTGGTTGACTCTGTCTAACTACATCATCTACGTGAAATCTTCAAGCTCTAGGCCGTCTCCCATGGCTCCGTCGAGCGGTCTCCTTCGAGTCTTCTTCCTTCTGAACTCCAGATATTAATTCTAGACGTCCTTTATACATATTTCTTATCTATAGGTGGATTCGGTGCTGCATTATTTGGCGGTACATACTAATTTTAATTATTCAAATTGCACACGTCACTTAAGTTACATAACTACAGGTAAGGCCATAAACCGAGCCGAGTGCACAAGCAATCGACTCTAATCAAATTAATTTACATGTCTGGGAATTATATTTGTGAACACTACAATACGTCACCGATAGGCCTACATACGTTACCAAAAATTTCATTGTTTGTTCTCTGTTGTCGCAAATCTGGTGTTGCGTGCGACGTTGTATATGTGCGCACGCATGTTATTACGTCGCTCATTCTTCTTTGTTACGTTAAAATGATACATACGTTACCATAAAGCGTGTAAATATTTTTTATTTTATTTTCATTGGTTGTCTTTCCTTTTGTACGCTAACACTTTTTTAATGAAACAAAAATAAAAGACATAAGTGTTGTCCCACAAAGCGAAAGAAAACCAATGAAAATAGAATAGGCCTAAATATTTACACGCTTCATGGTAACGTATGTATCGGTAACGTATGTATCATTTTAACGTAACAAAGAAGAATAAGCGACGTAAAAACAAGCGTGCGCACATATACAACGTCGCACGCAACCACACAGTCACGACAATACAGAATAAACAATGAAATCAGAAAACAATACCTTAACGTTATTTGGGTGTCCGATAAGGATTACTTGCCGATTCCCCTACCCTGTGATTATCATGCAACCTCTGTTAATCGACCATACGGGACAGGGTTGGGAGACCATGCGGCCTCTTGGTAAGGGGACTTTCTGGCGGGATTGTATATTAAAATATACAGCTGGAGCGCGAAAAACCTTGAACTGAACCTTTCTTTCTTGAAGTGATGTATTTTTTGTTCACGTTGTTAATTTTTTTTGTTTTGTTTTGTTTTGTTTTTTATTTAGTTTTTTCCCATTGTTTTTTAACGTGTGACTACGAAAAACCACTATGCACATTTCAAAGCATTGTCGCCTTGGCAACTCCGGCAGCTTGGTGTACTCTTAGCCGTGGCGCAATAAGGACGTGTTGTTTCTACATACCTTAAGCCTCGGTCACAACCGGATGCACGAATTTAAGAACCTTACGGCCCCTGCGAATTTTGGGTGCAGTGGAGGCCGTGGAGTTGGTAGAGGTAGAGGGAAGTTTGCAATGGAAAGGCGCAAGTCTGACTTGCGAGTTGCAGGGTCCTCGTGAGAAGCAGTCCTGAACGCTAATTGCAAGGTGCGATGTACTCATTTCTTGAGTTTGTCTTGCTACCTGCGTACGTGGCATGCACTCGCCATTTACGAAGAGAATGCTACGCACGGCGAAAGTAATTTCCTTTTGCTTCACACTTGCCTCACACGCTTGTATTGATGTACTGACCGCGTACGTCTACATACGTCATTTTTGCCTCCTGTCCCCCCTTTTTTCTTTTTCCTCCTTCTTTCTTTTCTGTTTTCTTAGCTTCTTTCCCTTGCCTTTTGGAGGCATATTAGAAGCTGAACTGAGCAAATTTCGAAAATTTTGTAATGTTGTACACGAAGCACAAGCGACGTTATTTGTCAAGACACGAGCGTGCATCGTGAGCACGCCTTTTATACTCCTGACGTGGGGCCGACGCACTTCCGCCGTGCTTTCGACTTTGTTCGTTAGTTGTGAGGGCCTGCGTCGTACTCAACACGCAAAGGACACTTGCTCCTTCATTATTTACGACGTGCGTCTTGGACCACGCACGACTCACCTGTATACTTCTCGAGAACTCCTTGCGAGTGGAGTAAGTTACATTTGCTGCCTCGTTGTTCGTAGAATCTTTTGGACATGTCCAACATCCTCCGTATGTGCTTACGGGCTGTCTGCGAATTCCAAAATTCGCAAGAAAAACTTGCGCGGCACGTGAAATTCTGCGCAAAATTTGGACGCAAACAGGCCGTAAGAGCCCGTGCGGTGACCGAGGCTTTATACATAAATCTGGCTCTGAAAAAAATATATGGATTCATTTATAATCCAGTTGCTATCTTAAAAATAAGAAAGATTGGCCAGATTGCTATAAATATTGATTTTCTGTATGGAACAAGCAACAAGTGAGAACGGTGAAAATTTTAACACTAATTACAATTATTTCCTGTCATGTTACCTAAATGCGTTATATTATGCACTAGGTATACATTGAAGATGGCAGAAAAGGTCAAAGAAGAGAGACAGAGTCCACTACATGATGTACGAAAAGAAAGACTTAATGGGAAGAATGGTAGATATGACACAGATAAACCAGTCAAAACCCATGAAGGGTAAGTATTTGCAAAACTTGGGATCTTAACGTTAATATACCCTGTACTGTTTGTGTGTGTGTGTGTTTGTGCGGGCACATGTGTGTGTGTGTGTGTGTGTGTGTGTGTGTGTGTGTGTGTGTGTAAAAGAGTGACAGAGATATAGGTCGAGGGTGTTGAGAAAACATACTGTCAGACAATGAGAGAAAGAGGGGAGAGAGGAAAGGAGGGATCTAGAAAGAAAGACTGAATGAAGGTAAATTAGACACTTTTTTCACGCTGATACTAGGCATTTAAAAAAAACATCAGTGAAAGGAAAATAAAACGTTTAAAATATACAATTTGGTCTCAAAATGTATAAGTAGGCTTTCTTTCTTTTTTTTTCAGATTGGCCAGGCCAGTTTATAAACGGGGGCCAAAAGCTGGTGACATGACCACGAAATGGACACAGAGCGAAGTGCGCTACATGGGTTACAAAAAGTTGGAAGAATTGATGCAAAGGAATCAGGGTGATGCTCTTCTGTACTTGGCATCCCCTAAAAATGGTTTTCGTGAGCTTCTCGTGTCCAAAAAGCTGGAAGGTGGTCTTCTTTCTCTTCTCCTGTCTGTGTTGGCTTATGTAGGTCAGGCAGATCAGCTCCGATCGCATTTGATTACGGTTCTCAACATTACCAATGAATCGCCATTGCTTTCAGCAGGAGGTCCCGTTCAGAGCTGTATTATCAAGATGGTTCTAGCCCGAAACAGCCAGGCTGTCGATGTCAATTTTCTTGGCAATGTAATCAAGTTGGTCCAGTTACTTCTGACTCTTCTGCCTCGATCTAGTCACCTACATGCCAGCACCCTTTTACCATTAATACAGAAGGTAGTAGATGGCAAGGCAGACAGTGGTAATATTGACTGCCTGAAAGGACCATTACAGCAAGCTACCGAAATAAAAGATGCCGTCGAAAATGACTTAAGACTGGGTTTTAAAGCACAAGATGCAGAAAATGCTCCTGAAGATCTCACAACTCCTCCCGATGATTTTCGTGAGTGCAGTATATTTCCAAGTAGGGAAGACCTTATCACCGATGAACAACCTTTCCTGAGGGCCAACATTGTGAAGGGAAAGTACAGTTCCGTTGATCATTATCTTGATGTCCAGTTTAGGCTGCTGAGGGAAGATTTCATAGCACCACTTCGCAATGGCATCAAAGAGTACTTGGTCAATTTAGATCGTGGGCAAGAACATGCCAGGTTGTCAGATGCTAGGGTTTACCATCATGTGTACTTTCAAATGCCCAATTGTGCTAAGAATCAAATCACTTATCCGGTCAAGTTTGATGTGTCAAGGCTCTCCAGGGTCAAGTGGGAGCACAGTAAACGGTTGATATGTGGCTCTCTTGTGTGTCTATCAAAGGACAGCTTTGAAACTGTAATTTTTGCAACAGTTGCTGATAGAGACCCAAAGAAGCTTCAGAAAGGTATTATTGAGCTCCACTGTGATACAGAAAGCCTTGCAGTGCTTTCCGCAAGCATGCGTGAGGTTTTCGTCATGGTTGAGTCTTCTGCCTATTTTGAAGCATACCGGCATGTCTTGAGGGGGCTTCAGGAGTTGAGCCAGGAAAATTTACCCCTTCAAGAGTACATTATTGGCTGTGATAGTGCGCCCAGACCACCGAAATACATTTTAGATTCGGGCCTGCCATTGGACCTCACCTGTCTAATCGACAGAGATATTGTAGGACGACAAAAGTTTGAAGCAGTTGATATTTTCAAAGAAGATACCTGGCCAGATGCAGAGAAGCTGAATTTAGATGAGTCCCAAAGTGCAGCATTAAAGAGTGCTCTAACCAAAGAATTCTCTGTCATTCAAGGTCCACCGGGAACGGGAAAAACATACATAGGGTTAAAAGTTGTAAGAGCTCTCATGGCAAACAGACCAATTTGGGCATCTGGAGAGAGAGAGGAAAATGGGAATGTTATCCAGCACGAGACATTAGATTTGCTTGACCCAGAAGAGGGAGCCCTAGAAAAGAGAGACGTTAACAAACCAATACTGCTTGTATGTTACACCAATCATGCCCTAGACCAGTTTTTAGAAGGCATTGTAAAATTTCAGCCCAACAAAGTTGCAAGAATTGGAGGAAGAAGCAGCTCTGAAGATCCTGCTCTTCAAAGGTGTCTTCTGCAAAATCTAAAAAAAGATCATCCAACTGACAGGGAAAGAAGGAGGGGAATCGCCCGTTTGCTTGGGGAGCTTTCGTTATTGGCAGAGGCCGTCCGTTATTTTACAGATATTTACAATTCCCTCAGTTATATTGGAAATAAACAAATACGCAGTTTGTTATCTGAATCGCAACAGAAGTCTCTAGAGTATGTTGCGAAAGATGTTGATTACTGGCTTCTTGCTGAAGACCGCAAGGTAATCTTGCAGCAAGAGATTAAACAACGGCACCAGTTTAAGAATGATAGTCAGTCTGCTGGCGAAGAGCCAGCAAACATTAATGAAACAAACCCCCAAACAAGTGGCAGGGATGTGGAAGACGGAGACGAGTTGTTAGCAGTGTCTGAAGAGAAATCAGTCTACCGAAGCGAGGGATCTACCGAAGAAACAGTAGGCGTTGGTGAAACAAGCCCCCAAGAAAGTGACAGTGATGTGGAAGAAGGAGACAAGCTGTTAACAGAGTCTGAAGTAAATAGAGGAGACCAAATCAAGGAATCTGACGTGTCTGAACTTTGCAATAGAAAAGAAGAATTGTCGGATGGAGAGAGTGATCTAGATGAAACAGCTACTGGATTAAAGACGCCAGAGACAATTGAGGAAGATGGAGATATGAGAAAAAGTGACAGCGAAAGTCTGTTGAATAAAGAAGATAGCTCCGTTGCTGTAAAAGGAGAGGCTGAATTATTGTCCGATCAACGTGAAATCATAGAAGGAGAATATGATTTTGAATCAGATCAAACGTCATTTAATCAGGCCGATGATTTCTTGGATGATGTTCAAATTGTGGATAATGACACTGATATTTTGAAGACCATCGCTCAACATGTAGTAAAATCGGAAGAGATGGAGGAGAATGCATATACTACCGAGATGGACAAATTTGAACAGCCTTTAAAAATGTCGAAAAAAATGAAAAGGGAAATGCGACTAGAGATGAAGAAATTTGAAAGTGTACTTCACCAGGCCAGTTGTGGTGATGACTACATGACTGAAGAGGAGGCAGAAAGCATAGAAAACCTTTGGGTTCTCTCCATTGCAGACAGATGGCGTTTGTATCGTTATTGGAAACGCTTATTTTATGAGGACATTTTCCAGCGCCTTCAGTATAAGATCATAGAATACAATCGTACTCGGCTTGCACTGCAAGAAATATACGATGACCTAGATTTCCAGCTGCTTCAAAACATGCATATATTAGGCATGACTACGACTGGGGCAGCAAAGTATCACCACATTCTCAGACGACTTCGTCCGCGGATTGTTATTGTAGAAGAGGCAGCAGAAGTGTTTGAGTCCCACATTGTGACGACACTCACAGAAGGTTGCGAGCACCTGATTCTCATAGGAGACCATCAGCAGCTACGACCAAACCCTGCTGTTTATGCTCTGGCCAAGAAGTTCAACCTAGAGATATCCCTTTTTGAACGAATGGTGCGAAACGGTATGCACTGTGACAGACTGGCCATACAGCACCGCATGCGACCTGAGATATCACGTCTTCTGGTGCCTGACATATACGACCATCTTCTTGATCATGAGTCTGTTCGCCATTATGTGAATGTGAGAGGAATTGAAGAAAACTTGTTCTTTATTGACCACAATTTCCAAGAAGAGAGTGACGATGATAGCAAAAGTCACTCCAACAAGCACGAAGCATCCTTCCTTGCTGCTCTCTGCCAGTATCTCATAAATCAAGGTTACAGTAAATCACAGATCACCATTCTGACCACATACACTGGCCAACTTTTCGAAATGAAAAAACACCTCCCAAGAGATAAATTCCAAGGGATTCGAGTAACGCCCGTGGACAATTTTCAAGGAGAGGAAAATGACATAATTCTTCTCTCCTTAGTCCGCAGCAACAAGGAAGAACGCATTGGTTTTCTTAGTATTTCAAACCGTGTTTGCGTGGCTCTTTCTAGGGCGAGAATGGGTTTCTATTGTATAGGGAATGTTTCGCTAATGGCACGAAAAAGTAGCCTCTGGAAAAAGCTGGTCAATAAGCTGAAAGAACGACAACAGGTGGGCACAAAACTGACTTTGTTTTGCCAAAACCACCCCAAAACGAAATATCACGTATCTAAGAAAGAGGATTTCCAGCACGTGGCCGATGGTGGGTGCCAATTGCCATGCGAATTTCGTTTGGAGTGCGGCCACGTATGTGCACGTAGGTGTCATCCTTATGATCTAGACCACAAGCTGTACAAATGTGAAAAGCCATGTGAAAAACCCTGTGACATTGGACACAAAACCTGCAAGAGAAAATGCTTTGAGATTTGTTCGCCGTGCAGTTTTATTGTAAACGCGCGGCTGCCAAAATGTCACCACGAAATTTTGACCGAATGTCACAGAGATCCAGATAACATAATTTGCCCTATCCCATGCGAACGGCTCCTTAACTGTGGGCATGAATGCAAAAACCTGTGCTCTGAACCATGTACCGTGCAGTGTGAAAGAGAAGTATTAAAACATTTGCTGTGTGGGCACAGCTGCCTTCTACCCTGTCACCAGGATGAAACCCTCGTGAGGTGTGACTTTATGGTAGAGAAACAACTGCCCTGTACCCATGTGGCAAATGTTCCCTGTCATACAGACGTAACAAACATAGAATGCCAACAACCGATTACCGTAAGGCTTCCTTGTGCCCACCATATTGAAGTGAAATGCCATGAAAGATACGCAGCCTTGTCTCGCCGATGTACAGTGTTTGTAGAAAGATTATTGCCCTGTGGACACACAGGAATAATGTCTTGTCATCTAGAACTGGGACATTACAAATGCAGACAAAAAATGATGCTGACATTCCCAAAGTGCAACCACCAAGTAGAGGTGAAGTGTGCCACTCGAGAAAAAGTCTTATTGAAGGGGTGTGAGGTGAAAGTGCAACGAACGCTCTCTTGTGGCCACCGGGTCAAAGCAAGTTGTGGAAAGGCTGAAAAGGAATTAGTGGAAGCTTGTCCCGCTGTCTGCAGAAAAACACGTTCTTGTGGTCACACTTGTGAGGGAACATGTGGTTCTTGCAGACAGGGTACCCTCCACATCCCGTGTTCAAGTCCTTGTTTACTTGTGTATCCTTGCGGGCATATATGCAAGGAGAAGTGCAGTGCTGTATGCAAACCTTGCTCAGTCGGTTGTGAACGATCCTGCGCTCACCTGACAAAATGCAGTAAGAAATGCAGTGACGTCTGCACGCGTTGTCCTCAGCCATGTGACTGGAAGTGCTACCATGCCCAGTGTAAAAGCCTCTGCTCCGAGATATGTTCAGATCGCTTAATCTGTGATGAGCCTTGCCCGGAAAAACTAAGCTGCGGCCACCCTTGTATTGGGATGTGTGGGGAACCATGCCCATTGCTGTGTCGAATATGCAGCAAGAAAAGCAAAGTCTTTGCCGGTTTACCACCCAGGTCCCGCTTTATCAGAGTCCAACCGTGCAACCACGTCATCGAGGTGACCAAGATGGATGCCCACATGGCTCGCCAAGGAGATGTAGTGACACTAGCCCCAAAACGATGTCCTCTTCCAAACTGCAGGAGAATAATCCAAATATGCCCTCGATATGCAAAAGAGCTGAAGACGTACATTAAAGCCAAGGACGAGGCATCAGCGATTTTAAGATATGAATATTCTCTTTGTCAGCAGGTTCTTAAATCTACAGAGTTGATGACGAGAATAAAATCGTTGGATTCTCCAATCTGCGCTGAGATATTTGATTTTTGCAGCACTTCTGAGATCGAAGGTCAAAAGGTACAAATGGATAAAGAGACCTCCCTGATGTTGCTGACAATGGGCACCATTTTAGATGCAACAGACGCCATTAAAGAGTATGTTCACACCTTAGTTTATATTAACGCAGATTAACGCAAACAAATAACAAAATATGCCTCCTTTATGTTTTTTGTTTTTGCCATTAAATATATCGATTGTTATTTAATTGTAATCAGAAGTGCTTCAATTTAGGTAAGTTTTGCGTAAGATGCTCTTATAGTAATACTCCTAATGACTTATTGCTCGTCTGTTTCAGAGTAAACTTGTTAAGGTTTTACCATGACTCTACCAGCCAGGCAAATCTTAACAGTATTTTCGAAAGACTGCGAAGTGCTGAAGATGACGCCGACCTTTTCAATCTGGTCAATACTCTACAGCATCTTTTCCTTCGTACATTGATCCTATCGTCACGCACAGAGATGGATGGGGTGAACGTGGGTCTTGGCACGGCCCAACGTCTCGAGGCCTTGGACTGCCCCTGGTCAGAACTTGTGCTGATTTTCAAGAAAATGAAGGGGGTAGACGATCAACGCTCTCGCCAAATGAAAGCACTGTTGCATGCGCCGTTTACTTTACCGGAACGGCGGCAGTGGTGGTACTGCCAAAGAGGTATTATGCTAAAGAGGCTGTAGCATATTTTATGTACAGTTTTTAAATGCCAATTCTTTAAAGTCCGTTATAAATACATGTAACTGAATCTTGTAACCATGTACATGTAAACATTTAGTGCATGAATGGAACCGTCCATTTCAGAAACGGTGCTTCTTAGTAGGCCTATCCACTGATTACTTTCGTGTGTCTCATATATTGTCTAAAACATCTGCACACACATTGAAGCTTTTACTTTACATAACACGTATTACTGGAATAAATTAGAAGTTGTTTATCTTAATACCAGGTCACGTGATGAGGACCTCCAGCAAAGAGGCCCCAGCATGTGAGGCCTGCGCCCTTGGAGGAGAAACGGACCTTAGTCTTCACCAGGAGAGTCGAACTAATGCAGTCACCACAGATTCTTCAGGTCAACGCCGTCTGGAGACAATTGCCGGGCGCCGTGGTGGTGGTGGTGGTGGTGGTGGTTTCGCACGTGGTGGGGGAAGAGGTCGTGGAGGTCGAGGCCGAGGGGGTCAAGGTCGTGGTGGATATCGTGGTATACGAAGTACGCTATTTTTCAACCTTTTAACAATTAACGAATCAATATTTTCCTTTTTCCAGTTTTAAAAATTTTCCTCGATATTTCTAGTTTCGGAAAATGTTCATCATACTAAAATCTTTCAGTACTGACTAATACACTTTACCATATAGGAGAAATACACGCTGTAGTAAAAATAATGAATTTTCAGATGCCGGCTTAATTTATTTAGTAACGATCGATAAATTTATAAAGAAATGTAACATTTATACATTCCAGGGTAAGAAAGAGTATATTTTACTACTGGCGCATCAAAATTGACGTTTAAAAAGAACGACTACATGGAGGATAAACAGTGCCTTTAAAAGAACTGTCTCCGACGGAATGACAGAGAAAACTACCGGTACATAGAAGTTGTAGGTGGTGGCTCTGATGTGTTTTTCATAGTGAGTCCCACTTGGAGTGCGTGCTCAGTGACAGTATGGTAGTGTATATTCATCGTGTGTTTAACTAGTAATTGTGTTGGTCTAGTAACATCACGACCTTGTGCAGTTCCGGCTTGTCTTGAACAGCGAACGTAATTGCTTGTAAATAATTGTCTTAGATTGATTATGAAGAACCAGCGTTTTTGCAAATTCAAGTATCAGAATGTTTACAAATGTACATACATGTTTTTCAGTATGAAAGAATTCTTAATTTGAGTGGGCACGTTATTAAAAACAATGGTAAACTGTGTAGTGAGATGAAATTGTGTAGTGAGGGATATGTTCCAAAAATACTTCATTAGTTAGTACCAAAAATGAAACTTTATAGAGGAATTTGGAAAATACTGGCGTTGGGTAGCGTCGACCAGAATTTATCAAGAGATTTCGTTTGTAGGGTGCTAATGACGGTCCACCAAACTCACGAGGCAGGCCCGTAGCCAGAAATTTCAAAAGGGAGGTTCTTTTTCAGAAAAAAAGGACCTTTTACAGTGGAACTCTTGTGTACCTAGATCAATTTTACCAGCATTGACGTTTTCCTTACAAAAAGGGCGATTCTTTTTAACCCCCCCTACCCCCCCCCCCCCCGGCTATGTGCCTGCGGGGTGTAAGATCGGGTACACCCAGTATATATATATATATATATATATATATATATATATATTGTGTACGTTACATGTGCTTTACTACGCTGTCTGTTTTTGAATTAGTAACAACTTTATTTAATAGAAAAAAATGTGTAATCTGGCACGTTACATTAGACACGCAATGAAGTTGAGGAATAGTGTGACTCATGTCGGTTGATTGACAAGGGTGTTTACATATATACATTTTTAATGCTCTGTTGTCAATTCATATTCTTTGTAACGTAATTGTTTGACCTCGCAGGCCTCAAGTTAAGACATTTTCTTTCTTTGAAGACGACTGCATAAGTCAAAATGTTGCTTATTTTTACCTTAAGTATTTTTATAGATGTGCACGATTGTAATGATCATCTAATTTTACAAACTGCAAAAAAGAAGTAAAAAAGGCAGTTCTCGTACATATTTATTTATTTCAGAATATCTCTATTTATTTCAATTGCGTAAAAAAATGAAAGTGAAATTGCAAATTGAGAAAATTGGAAAGGAGAGTAACTGGCACATTTTAAATATGAGTTACTCTTTGGCGTAGTGACGACTATCTCTTCTTATTTTATCTTTCTTCTATCTGTCTCCTTTTCTTATGTTACAACATCGATATATATATACAGCACATCCAAAGTAACCAACAAGAAATGTTATCACTGTCATCACTGTAGGCTTCACCTGAAATGGAGTATTTCGGAAATCAATCAAGGGATGATTTAATATTTTTATTCCTTCAGCGGAAAGTTAAGAAGTGTTGTATATTCCGATAATCACATCATAAACATCGGACTATAACTAGCAACACTTAATTAATAAGCTATGTTATATTATCTCTAAGAAATAAATTGAACATTTGCTGGATTGTGTCATAGTGGTGTCTGTTCAACGTGCACATGTATAAATCCTTTTAACAGGGGAGAGAGGGAGGGATATTAAGCATACCTTGGTATCACGCCATTCCCATTTTAGTATTTGCTATATCCGTATCCGTGACTGCTGGCGTATCTACCGGCGTATATGTCGTTTAGGTTGATGTCACAGATGGCAGCACCGCGGTAGGCATTGCCTGGCACCAGATCGAGGCCGCTGGTAGCGCTACCTGGAGCACAACGCTGCACAGTGGCGATTCCATTGGAACAGAATGTCAGAGAGAAGCCGTCAGCGTTGGCGTAGATACCGTCGTAGGCGCAGACTCCTGCGAAATTATAAGTGTGATAAAATAATTTATTATTCAGAATTTCCTTGACTTTAAACATAAACCATCTATTAACTCCCACGTATAATTGGGGAAAAAAAACACTGCAAGCTGCTTATAAATTTTAACAACGAAGTACCCCAGCGCAGTGATAGATTTGAAGACAAGGCACAGCATAATTTATTTTGAACTTTGACATTAGTAATTTACTGATAAAATAGTTGTTCTGCTGAGTTCTTGTACGCGAAATGATAGCATATCATTAAACGTTAAGTCTTTCAGATCTATGATTTTCTCTATAAATATGGAATCATCCACGGTTTTTTTAGCCGACAAAAGAGAACGAAGATGTACATGTTGTGGGCGCAAACACAAAAATAGAGAGGAGGATAAAGGTGCAGGGTTAGGAAGCGTGAAAGATTGAGACAGAGTTTACTCACCGCCGTATTTTCCACGGTACATGTATTCCTCGTTATATTTGAGTGTTGGGGCGTTGATGACGTGTTTTGGGCCTGCAACCACTGGTCGCAAAACACGTGGGCGAACTCTTGGGATCAAACGGGAAGCGACTGGGAGAACTCTTGTGGCCATACGTGGGTGAACTTTTGAGACCACACGTGGGGCAACACGTGGGTGAATTTTGGGGACCACACGAGTGACGACAGGGGCTGCTGGTTTCACAAGCTGCTTGTGATAACGGACGAAACGGTTCCTGTAAAACAATGGAAAAATACCTTACCAATCTAACTTCACTGAAATATACACTTACTGTTTATGCCAATTTTAAGTTTGAAAATTTGAAAATGATAACTAAAGGACTTTGGTATAAATTGAAAAAGCGGAGAACGTTGGCCAAAAATTCTATGTTTTTGACGTGAAAATCATTTTTTGAGACGAGGTAGGTGTTTTACGGGGGTAAATGTATGCATCATATGGCATCCGGTTGCTTCGTTTAGGCCATTGGGACGTTCAATTTGCAGTTATTGGTGTTAAAGTGCGGCCGGAAAAGGAGAATTTATTTATATTTCCATAGAAGTACCAGGTCAAGGAATGCGTGTGGTGTGAACAAAGCATGTTTACACAATGTGAACTTGGAACTATTGATTTGTATTTTAGTGCCTGGCTTTAGATGAAAGGCTGGACAGCTCAGGCAGTAGAGTGAGCGCTCTGTGGTATAAACGGGAGGGTATAAACGGGAGGGTCCGGGTTGGAGCCCTGGTGTGGCGTGCGACATTTTTTTTTGCTTTATTTTGTTTCTATTTATTTATTTATTTATTTATTTATTTATTTATTTTTTGCATATTTAAGCATATGTTAACATTGTTTTATTTATTTATATGAAAAGATAGTTACATTATTATCAGATATCTACTTATGAAATAGACTAAAAAATATGGCAATCATTTATGCAATTATAATGCAGTGTAAAACAAAGATTTAGATAGAATAAATATGCTTCCAGTACAACTTGCATTTTATTGTTTAATTTGTAATTACATCTAAATATTACTAGATTCAAAAATGAATAAAGATTAAAAGTAAATTGAAATTTAAAAAATTTACAACATTTGCAGAGTTTTTTGCTCTATGAGCAATTTTATTACCGTATTCTTTGTTATACTGGAGTGTTGGGGTGTTGATGACGTGCGTAAAGGAGGCGTGTCTGACAATTAACCTGATTACATTAACTGCAGACTTGGATCGATCCAGCTAGGGTTTATCTGAAAACTCTGTCTCATAGTGGTGCTTCAGAATATCGGCTCCTCCTCCTCCCTTTTAGAAATTCAACGAATGGAAGATTTGAAGATCTTTATAGTTGGCAATGGGAAGGGTGCCGAAGCAGCGTACCAAAGTTCAAGTACATGTAGGCCTACTTGTAAATTGTGTATCGTTTACTAGAAGTCACCTGAGGGATGAGGTAAATTCCATACATGAATTCTTATCTCGGTTGACAGCAGAGAACAGTGCACTGACTGAGTTAGAACTCAATCTTTGGCCTAGGTACAAATTGAGTAGGCTCCGTTTCAGACCAACTTATCTTAAACAAACAATATTATCGCATTTCTAGTAATGTGTATGACGCATGGTGTAACCTGGATAATTAGGTCGATTGACCGCACTATTAGTGCATATATATATATATATATATATATATATATATATATATATATATATATATATATATACCGAGTATTATTTGTTATTAATATATATATATATATATATATTTGGTTTTGTTTTCTCTCGGAACTTTTCAAATAAACCTTTACAGAGGTTTTATGAGGTACCCCCCCCCCCAAAAAAAAAAAAAAAAAATCTAATAGTAATAATAATGCCCTCCCGTTTGTTGTTAAATGACCATTTAAACAACGTCAGTTTTTGGTCACATATGAAATATTACTCTCAATCCAGATTTTGTGAAAAAGCACGTAAACCTTTTTAGGGTTATTAGAAAATAAAGATCGGTTAAAGGGCTCTTACATTCAAGAACAAATAAGGGCGAAGTTAAAATAGCAAATGAAAGCTGGGTGAGAGTGGCAAAGGTGATTAAAAACTTAACGAAATGCAAATAATTCAGTTTAACCCTCCAGACCTTAAGTATTGGTCGCGACAGATTTGTTTTTCCCGGTAACTTTCTGTTTCAGGTATTTAATATAGCGTAAGAGGCCCAGTTCTTTGAATCACTTTAACGGAGGGCGTTTCTTTCAGCGAAATACATTTTATAGTGCTCCGTGTGCTATATATTTCAACGTGCTATAATATCTGTCACACAGAGAGGTATACGTATTGCAGAGGGAGACAGGAAAAACCTGACGCAGTGGGATGGATGAAAGCTTCTCAAACCAGCCAGAGTACGAAAGCGAAAGTTAACCAGGAACTGACAGTGACTCGATAGGCCGTCTCATACGGTTTTAACGTAAGTCTCTCTCAGTCTCTCTCTCTCTCTCTCTCTCTCTCTCTCGCGAAGAATGCACAGAATATGGGGGGGGGGGCGTACGGATAAAATTTAATCCCAAAATATTACACGTCCCTATACTCCCATTACCGATAGATACATAAAGGAAAAACTGAAAAAAATCGTCTTTTTAGATTTTAATACCGATAGATCCGATTTTCACCACCGTCCTATATATTTGCGTTCCTATAGATACCGACGTCCACATAAACCCACGTACTTATAAGTCCGCATACCTATAGATCCACGCATTTTTAGATCCAAATATCGATAGATCCCTTACAGGTACACTATTGCCCAAAATGGTTGGTATAGGCCTACTACTCAGTACATGAAATGCACTTTTTTTAAAACGACAGTACACATATTAATCCCTTCAGCAATTTATTATTCTACTACATCGTTTTTACGCAATACTCGGGTAATTTACATTACTAACGCATTATCTGACAGAAATTTATGATTTCACTAGGTGAAATTATGTTACATTCATTTAGTTTTGATTACGCAGGCTTCTGACGGGAACCTAAGATTAGGCCTATATAGCGATTAATCCCAGAAGAACAGATATTGCACTGGATATTTTTGGTAAAAAGAGATGGACATTTCTTCGCATGTGATTCTTAAGTATTGCATAGTACTTTACGTTATCTTATATTACATCTGTTAAAAAAGAACATTTCATGTTTTTCATCAGAGAAGAAGTTAACGATACCTAACTAGAGAGCGTTTTTATGGTAAAAACAAATGGACATTTTCACAAGAGTGATTTTTATGTGTTACATTGTTTTTCGTTTTGATACTAGTATATTACATTTGTTACAAAAGACAGAACTAGCGAAAGGGTAGCGAAAGTCAGGGGAAGATACACAAGCAAATTATTGGCTGCAGCCCCCTCCCCCCGCTTCTGACGGGCCCTTGTAAACAACACAGTTTGTTTGGAAATGCAATTAATTGTTAACTTTTACATAATTTAAGTAATGTGTAGGTTAGGAGATTTGAATTCTGATCATAGTAAGAAACTCAACCTACTTGTAAAAGTGACCTCTAATAGTTTGGATTGATGATTTAGAACAAAAATGGACTGGTGAAATAAAGTCCAGGAAAAATGCAGTTTACCCTGGTGAAATTCGTTTTCTAAGGGAATTTGCGCCTTTTTAGAGCTTAACATACCTTTAAGGTAATAAATATCAGGTTGTAATTAAGTCAGATAACTAAGTGGGTCAGTACTCAATTGCAGTCTGACTGTCACTCGAAAGTCTGATACCTGTATCTCAAGTTGATATCGCCATTTTTGCCGATAACGATGTCTGATAGATGGATCTAGCGGTACCTGGATCTAAATATACGTGGGTTTAGAGGAATCTGCTGGTGGATCTATCGGAACGTAAATTTAACGAGACGAAAATCTATTGAGACGCGTATGTATAGAGACGCATCTATGGGGACGAATATTTTATAAGGACGTTGATCTATATGGCGGACCCCGTAAGGGGGAGGGGGGGTAATTTAGGGGGAAGATATATGCATATGCCTTTCTCTCTCACACACAAACACACAGACGCACGCACACACACACACACACACACACACACACACACACACGTATTCTTCACAGCCTACTGCCCTTGTTACGCTATAAAATCTTTGGAAAACCCTTGACCTTTAAAGTCACGTATTAAATGTGTAATCAAGCATATGCAATTGAAGTCCGTCAATGATTCACAAATACGATTTGAATACTAATTCTCTCTCTCTCTCTCTCTCTCTCTCTCTCTCTCTCTGAATGTGTATGTTTGTGAACAGACGCGGGTGAGCTATTTGGCGTGTAGTCAGAGTCAGTTTAGCGGAAATATCATATTCATATACCGATTTTCCACTGTCCATGTAATCGTAGCACAGCTGAAGGGGATTCTCCTTTTATCAGGTTATATTTGTCCCACGGAATAATTTAATTAAAAGAGGGTCCTATTGGGTAATTTCGTTACCTGTGAAAGCCATATTTTAAAAATTATATGCGTAATGGTATTTTTTTTTTTTTTTTGCGTGATTCGTGAATCACCCCTTTCCCACGACTCTTGAATGTGACTTTTTATTCTCCGCCCTTCGTGAAACGAAGTTTATACCCGGTGATCAGTGATTTTTCGGATTTTCGACGCTCATTATCAGTGAGATATAGATAAAGTTTTAACTACTGTAATACAGCATTGGTCAAAAAGGTTGCCCCACCTTCAGTATCATGTGATTTTATCTATAAATGATCACATCACAGGTGTAGATTGTCATAAATAGTGATTTTCATACCAGTTACCATAACTAACATGATTAGTGATACAGAAAATACAAACTAGCGTTGAAGATATCAATATTTTTAAATATTAAAATAAATAAAATACTATTTATTCACATTTATTACATGTACCCCCTCAAGTCCGACGTTTCACTGTGATTTTCACAGAGGTAAAGAAATGTCCATTAAATTGAAATAACACCACTAAATGTCACCAAATTTCCACACATTTAGCATTAGGGTGTGCTCGTTAAAGGCTCCTTGCCTAATAGCGTTTGTGTTTACCGCGTACTGTAAGTACCTCCTGTAGGTAGCGCTGCCTGCCTTCAACAAGGGTAACAATTCTGTTTTATGGGATATTGTCCCATTCTTCCTAAAGAGCTTGAGGGAGTTGGTCCAGAGCATTAGGAGTTTGGTTTTCCTATGCACTGCACACTTCAGTTCATGCCACATATGTTTAGTAAGGTTAATAACATGGCTCAAAGGTGGTTGTTCTATCCTCTTCACGTTGGGTTTCTGCAACAAATCACTCAGCAGACGAGAGTTGTGAGCATGTGCATTTCCACGATGACGCCTGTAGTATCCCTGAAGTCACCTCTTGCAAATGGAGTGAGATACTTGTTGAGAGCGTTTCAGTGAATTGCCCCAATAACGTTCTTTTCTGGAAAAAACAATGCACTAAAACCATAGGCTTGGAATTCTCTCCAAACGTGGTCTGAACTGACACCTCAGGCGATATTATCTTCCACAAACCTTCCAAAAAGCATTCTGCAACATGTCTACGGGTCCAAATTTGACCATCGAAGGCATACAAGAAATACCTTGATTCTTCAGCAAAACGAACTTGTTCCTATTGATGGTTGACCAAGTTATCGTAGTTCTGGGGTCACTGAACCTAACATTCTCAACTGATGCCTCATTCCATCTGCAAGATTTTAAAACCACTGATATGCAGATTTGGAAAGGAGGAAGCTGGCATGTGCTGGCCTGGGGCCATATTCTCGAAGGTTGTTTCAGAAAAAAATTATATCTCCACCATCCCATGATACCGGTAGTCCGTCAGGTACAGGGGTCCATCACTACAGATCGGGCGACCAAGGTTGAGGGGTTCATTGGTATCATGTGAAAGTTCATTTAGACAGGAATCATTGTCTGTGTGGTAGCACTTTCAATTCTTGGCTTTCTTTATGCGAACGCTCTTTATATAACGAAATGTTGCTTAAGGATGCATATGAAGTCACAATTTTGTCACAATTAAAAGCCAACCAAATGCCAGCACGTAGTTTCAAGTAGTAAAACTAAGAGAATTAGTAAAAGGCATTGTTAAAATTTACCCGAAAAATGATATTTGAACGGATATTTCGGCTAGCATTCTATGCTGTATATCAATGGGGCAGAAAAGTAGGTCACGAATGTAGGTTAAATTTCTGACCAAAAATTTAAAGACAGGAGCAGTCTTAAGGTCTTTTAAGGCTGATCGAGTGATATATTTAGTTTATCCCTTGGCATGTCGACTTTATTTGAGTCGTATAAGAAACTAGTGGAAGTGGTTTATATGTGTTACTGGGAATCCACGCTCCACCTATGCTCGGTTCATATGTACCGCATCTAGAAAAATGGGGGTAGGGGAAGAAAAACATACATAATATGAAAATAAAATAAACTTAAGTAATAATTTATGTATCATTATACAGCTGAAGAATAGTCTTTAAAAAATCAACTAAGTGAATTTTGTAATAATACATAATCTGTAAACAAATAAGGTCAGAGGTAACCTAAGGTCACATTTGAGGCAATTTTCGGAGAAATAAACATATTAAATTTTATTTTTTAAGAGAATGTAAGTCAAGATTAATAGTTCATCCATAAATCTGTCATATTGTTGAATAAATTGTCAGAACTTCAGCATATCCCTGAAATTTAGACCAAGTTATTAGAAATAATCCAAAACACTTCCATTTCCATTCTCTAAATTAAATAACTTTTGGGTTCATTTTTCCTAAAATGCATCAAATTTGACCTAATGTTAACTTTGAAATACTTCAATTGCTATATTACACGCTAACAAATTTTTCTTCACCTATTAGAACATCCCCTCAGCTAAATAAATGAGCCGATTTTTATTCACACCTTACAAGTCTATCAAATAGTGAGCTTTTTTTCCTCCCCTACCCCCATTATTCATAAACTGACCGAACACCCCTTACAGCACCTGTGTCATCCATAAGCTTCGCAATTGTCAAGTTTAAAACTGTCAAATCTCATCAAATCCCTTTTATATATGGAGTTATCAATAATAGCCATATACCATTAATTTTGTCTTACATTCACCTTGAAGATTATTCCATTGCTTTATTTTTCCGGAAAATACCTCAAGTTTTACTTCAGGTGACTTTTGACCTCATTTGTTTACAGATTATGGAACATAAAAAACTCACTTTACAGATCTTTTAAAACTATTCTTCAGCTGCATAATATCAAATATAATAATGCCCTACCTTTTGGTATTTTCATATTATCGATATTTTCCTTCCTTTTCCCCATTTTTTTAGATGCGGCCATTTAGCAACATTTCGTTATATAAAGACCATTCGCATGAAGAAAGCTACTGATTTGAAAGTGATACCACACAGGCACTGACTTCTGATTAAATGAACTTTCACATGATACCGATGAACTGTGGTCACCCGTTTGGTAGCGATTTAAAATTTAGGGGTCTACCAGAAGCACTTAGAGTCATGAGATTCATTAGACCAAGATCAATGACAAACACAATACGGACTGGATTTTGGTCTTTTGGTGCCTTTAGCACTCTCAGCACCATTGCGCCCCCATATCTGCACAGATAACTTTTGGCAAATATGCGTTGAACATTAAAAAAATTCATTTGGTATTTACTTCTCATATATTCTTCAACTTTTTTCTTTTCTCTCTGCTATCTAAATGTCATTTTGTCAATTTTTTGAAACCCTTTCCCTTTCAATTACACTTATACGTATTTATGTGCACATGTCGTCGCACACGGCTACCACAAATACTATTCGGACTGTTTAATGGACAACAGTGTCACTTATTATCCTCAAACATAAAATAATTAGGCCTATAATGAAGATTAATATACAGCTGGAGCGCGAAAAACTTTGAACTGAACCTATTGTCTTTTTGTTATACATGTATTTTTTGTTGTTATCGTTGATATTTTTTTTTAACATTGGCTTTTTTAATGTGTGACTTTGATATACCACATGGGCCAAGAAGTATGTGCATTTGAAGGCACGGTCGCCCTGTAAACTCTGGCGGCTTGGTGTACTCTTAGCCGTGGCGCAATAAGAACGAGTTATTTCTACATACCTTATACATAAATCTGCATGGCCCTGAAAAAATATATGGATGTATTTATAATCCAGTTGCTATCTTTAAAATAAGAAAGATTGTCCAGATTGCTATAAATATTGGTTTTCTCTATGGAACAAGCAATTAGTGACAACGGTGGAATTTTTAACACTTATTACAATAATAATAATAATAATAATAATAATAATAATAATAATAATATGTATTTATTTGCAACTTAAAAGTTGGTTTTTACAATAAAAACAAATAGTCGTGAGATGCACAATCTTAAAATATACTTGTAAGTGTTAAAATGATTCGATACACATTAGAAGTTCATAAAAACCGCAGTACTTAAAATTTGATAAAGCCCATGGGATAAAAGATTTTGACGATCGTACATTCCTCAATTTTGGCAAAGTGTACTTATAAACCCGGCGCAAAGTGTAAGAACCTTCATTTATCCCTGGTAGCAAATGATGGATTTTGTGTCCTTCAGAGTAGATGTTATGCAATAATGTTTTAGATAGTTCATCTCTTCTACAAGCAAGAGTGATAGGTTTTCATGTTTCAAGTGCCCCATCATAGGGCAGCTCTGGGAATATAATCTTACATGCTCTAATCCGGATGGATTCGATTTTATCAACTTGTTGTTGTGTGAGACTTGGGTGCCACACCTGACATGCATATTCTAATGTAGGTCTGATTACTGATGTGTAAAATCTTACAAGTTAATTGGCTGGAATACCCGCTCTTTTCAGAAGCTTAAGATTGTGTAGCCTTTTACTAGCTTTTTTTACAAATATCACAGATGTGACCTTCCCAGCTCAAATCGCTGCTGATCCTAACCCCCTAAGAAAACAGCAGACCCCACTCTCTCAATCATTTCCTGTTATGTTACCAAAATGCGTTATATTATGCACTAGATATACGTAGAAGATGGCAGAAAAGGCCAAAGAAGAGAGACAGAGTCCACGACATGATTCACGAAAAGAAAGGCTTAATGGGAAGAAAAGTAGATATGACACAGATAGGCCGTTCAAACCCCATGAAGGGTAAGTATTTACAAAACTCGTGAACTTAACGTAAATATACCCTGTACTGTTTGTGTGTGTGTGTGTGTGTGTGTGTGTGTGCGCGCGAGTAAACATGCGCACATGCGTGTGTGTGTCTGTGTGTAAAAAAGTGACAGAGATATAGGTCGAGGATGTTGAGAAAACATACTGTCAGACAATGAGAAAGAGCAGAGAGAGGGGTCCAGCAAGAAAGACTGAATGAAGGTAAATTAGACACTTTTTTTCACGCTGATACTAGGCATTTTAAAAATACATCAGTGAAAGGAAAACAAAACATTCAAAATATACAATTCGGGCTCGAAGTATGAAAGTAGGCTTTTTTCTTTTTCAGGTTGGCCAGGCCAGTTGATAAACGGGGGCCAAAAGCTGGTGACATGACCACGAAATGGACACAGAGCGAAGTCCGTTACATGGGTTACAAAAAGTTGGAAGATTTGTTAAAAAGGGATCAGGGTGATGCTCTCCTGTACTTGGCATCCCCTAAAAACGGTTTCCGTGAGCTTCTCGTGTCTGAAAAGCTGGAAGGTGGTCTTCTTTCTCTTCTCCTGTCTGTGTTGGCTTATGTAGGTCAGGCAGATCAGCTCCGATCGCATTTGATTACGGTTCTCAACATTACCAATGAATCGCCATTGCTTTCAGCAGGAGGTCCTGTTCAGAGCTGTATTATCGAGATGGTTCTAGCCCGAAACAGCCAGGCTGTCGATGTCAATTTTCTTGGCAATGTTCTCAATTTGGTCCATTTACTTCTGACTCTTCTGCCTCGATCTAGTCACCTTCATGCCAGCACCCTTTTACCATTAATACAGAAGGTAGTAGATGACAAGGCAGACAGTGGTAATATTGTCTGCCTGAAAAGACAATTACAGCAAGCTACTGAAATAAAAGATGCCGTCGAAAATGACCTAAGAATGGGTTTTAAAGCACAAGATGCAGAAAATGCTCCTGAAGATCTCACAACTCCTCCCGATGATTTTCGCGAGTGCAGTATATTTCCAAGTAGGGAAGACCTTATCACCGATGAACAACCTTTCCTGAGGGCCAACATTGTGAAGGGGAAGTACAGTTCCGTGGATCATTATCTTGATGTCCAGTTTAGGCTGCTGAGGGAAGATTTCATAGCACCGCTTCGTAATGGCATCAGAGAGTACTTGGTCAATTTAGATCGTGGCCAAGAACATGTCAGGTTGTCGGATGTTAGGGTATACCATCATGTGTACTTTCAAATGCCCAATTGTGCTAAGAATCAAATCACTTATCCGGTCAAGTTTGATGTATCAAGGCTCTCCAAGGTCAGGTGGGAGCACAGTAAACGGTTGATATGTGGTTCTCTTGTTTGCCTGTCAAAGGACAGGTTTGAAACTGTAATTTTTGCAACAGTTGCTGATAGAGACCCAAAGAAGCTTCGGGAAGGTATTATTGAGCTCCACTGTGATGCAGAAAGTCTTGCAGTGATTTCCACAAGCATGCGTGAGGTTTTCGTCATGGTTGAGTCTTCTGCCTATTTTGAAGCATACCGTCATGTCTTGAGGGGTCTTCAGGAGTTGAACCAGGAAAATTTACCCCTTCAAAAGTACATTATTGGCTGTGATAGTGCGCCCAGACCACCGAAATACATTTTAGATTCGGGCCTGCTATTGGATCTCACCTGTCTAATCGACAGAGATACTGTAGGACGACAAAAGTTTGAAGCAGTTGACATTTTCAAAGAAGATACTTGGCCAAATGCAGCGACACTGAACTTAGATGAATCCCAAAGTGCAGCATTGAAGAGTGCTCTGACCAAAGAATTCTCTGTCATTCAAGGTCCACCGGGAACAGGAAAGACTTACATAGGTTTAAAGGTGGTAAGAGCGCTTTTGGCAAACAGACGAATGTGGGCATCAGGACGGAGAGAGGAAAATGGCAATGTCATCCAACACAGGCCGTTAGATTTGCTTGACCCAGGAGAGGAAGACCCAGAAAAGAGAGACTTTAACAAACCAATACTGCTCGTATGTTATACCAATCATGCCCTAGACCAGTTTTTAGAAGGCATTGTAAAATTTCAGCCCAGCAAAGTTGCAAGAATTGGAGGAAGAAGCAGCTCTAAGGATCCTGCTCTTCAAATGTGTCTTCTGCATAATATGAAAAAAGATCATCCAACTGACAGGGTAAGAAGAGGGGAAATCGCACGTTTGCATGGGGAGCTTTCGTTATTGGCAAAGACCATCAGTTATTTTGCAAATATCCACAATTCCCTCATTTATATTGGATATAAACAAATACGCAGTTTGTTATCTGAATCGCAACAGGAGTCTCTAGAGTACGTTGCGATAGATGTTTCCAGTCCATTTGATTATTGGCTTCTTGCTGAAGACCGCAAGATAGTCTTGCAGCAAGAGATTAAACAACGGCACCAGTTTAAGAATGATAGTCAGTCTGCTGGCGAAGAGCCAGCAGACATTAATGAAACAAATCCCCAAGCAAGTGACAGAGATGTGGAAGACGGAGACGAGCTGTTAGCAGAGTCTCAAGAGAAAACAGTCTACCGAAGCAAGGGATCTGCCGAGGAAACAGTAGGTGTTGGTGAAACAGGCCCCCAAGAAAGTAACAGTGATGTGGAAGACGGAGACAATCTGTTAGCAGAGTCTGAAGGAAATGGAGTAAACCAAAACAAGGAATTTGATGTGTGTGAGCCTTGCAACACAAAAGAAGAATTGTCGGATGGAGAGAGTGATCTAGATGACACAGCTGCTGGATTAAAGACACCAGAGACAATTGAGGAAGATGGAGATATGAGAAAAAGTGACAGCGAAAGTCTGTTGAATAAAGAAGATAGCTCAGTTGCTGTAAAAGGAGAGGCTGGATTATTGTCCGACCAACGTGAAATCATAGAAGGAGAATATGATTATGAATCAGATGAAATGTCATTTATTGAGGCCGAGGATTTCTTGGATGATGTTCAAATTGTGGATGATGACACTGATATTTTGGAGACCATCGCTCAACATGTAGTAAAATCGGAAGAGATGGAGGAGGATGCATATACTACCGAGGTGGACAAATCTGAACAACCTTTAAAAATCTCGAAAAAAATGAAAAGGGAAATGCAACTAGAGATGAAGAAATTTGAAAGTGAACTTCACAAGGCCAGTTGTGGTGATGACTACATGACTGAAGAGGAGGCAGAAAGCATAGAAAACCTTTGGGTTCTCTCCATTGCAGACAGATGGCGTTTGTATCGTTATTGGAAACGCTTATTTTATGAGGACATTCTCCAGCGCCTTCAGTATCAGATCATAGAATACGATCGTACCCGGCTTGCGCTGCAAGAAATATACGATGATCTAGATTTCCAGCTGCTTCAAAACATGTATATATTAGGCATGACTACGACTGGGGCAGCAAAGTATCACCACATCCTCAGACGACTTCGTCCGCGGATTGTTATTGTAGAAGAGGCGGCAGAAGTGTTTGAGTCCCACATTGTGACGGCACTCACAGAAGGTTGCGAGCACCTGATTCTCATAGGAGACCATCAGCAGCTACGACCAAACCCTGCTGTTTATGCTCTGGCCAAGAAGTTCAACCTAGAGATATCTCTCTTTGAACGAATGGTGCGAAACGGGATGCACTGTGACAGACTGGCTATACAGCACCGTATGCGACCTGAGATATCACGTCTTCTGGTACCAGAAATGTATGACCATCTTCTTGATCATGAGTCTGTTCGCCACTATGAGAATGTGAGAGGAATTGAAGAAAACTTGTTCTTTATTGACCACAGTTTCGAAGAAGAGAGTGACAATGATAGCAAAAGTCACTCCAACAAGCATGAAGCGTCCTTCCTTGCTGCTCTCTGCCAGTATCTCATGAATCAAGGTTACAGTAAATCACAGATCACCATTCTGACCACATACACTGGCCAACTTTTCGAAATGAAAAATAACCTCCCGAGAGATAAATTCCAAGGGATTCGAGTAACGCCCGTGGACAATTTTCAAGGAGAGGAAAATGACATAATTCTTCTCTCCTTGGTACGCAGCAACAAGGAAGAACGCATTGGTTTTCTTAGTATTTCAAACCGTGTTTGCGTGGCTCTTTCTAGGGCGAGAATGGGTTTCTACTGTGTAGGGAATGTTTCGCTAATGGCACGGCAAAGTAGCCTCTGGAAAAAGCTGGTCAATAAGCTGAAAGAACGGCAACAGGTGGGCACTGAACTGACTTTAATTTGTCAGAACCACCCAAAAAGGAAATATCAAGTCTCAAAGAAAGAAGATTTCCAGCACGTGCCTGATGGTGGGTGCCTATTGCCATGTGAGTTTCGTTTGGATTGCGGTCATGTATGTGCACGTCGGTGTCATCCTTATGATCTAGACCACCAGCTGTACACATGTGAAAAGCCGTGTGAAAAACCTTGCGACGTTGGACACAAAACCTGCAAGAGAGAATGCTTTGAGATTTGTTCACCATGCAGTTTTATTGTAACCGTTCGACTGCCAAAATGTCACCACGAAATTTTAACCGAATGCCACAGAGATCCAGATGACATAATTTGCCCTATCCCATGCGAACGACTCCTTAACTGTGGGCATGAATGCAAGAACCTGTGCTCTGAACCTTGTACCGTGCAGTGTGAAAGACAAGTACTGAAATATTTACCGTGTGGGCACAGCTGCCTTCTTCCCTGTCACCAGGATGAAACCCTCGTGACTTGTGACACCTTGGTAGAGAGACAGCTGCCCTGTAACCACGTGACAAACGTCGCCTGTCATACAGATATATCTACATACAAATGTACAGAATTGATGCAAAAAATTCTGCCTTGTGGACATGAGATTGCAGCGCCATGCTACCAAGACGTAACATGCGAAAAAATTGTGGAGAGACAGCTGCCCTGTTACCACGTGGCAAACGTCGCCTGTCATACAGATACACGCATATACAAATGTCCAGTATTGATGCAAAAAATTCTGCCATGTGGCCATATGATTGCAGGGCCATGCTATCAAGACGTAACAAACATAGAATGCCAACTGCCGGTGACCGTAAGGCTTCCTTGTGCCCACCATATTGAAGTGAAATGCCACGAAAGATACACAGCCATGTCTCTCCGATGTACAGTGCATGTAGAGAGATCATTGTCCTGCGGACACACGGGAATAATGTCTTGTCATCTAGACGTGGGAAATTACATATGCAGACAAAAAATGATGCTGACATTTCCGAAGTGCAACCACCAAGTAGAGGTGAAGTGTGCCACTAAAGAAAAAGTCTTGTCGAAGGGGTGTGAGGTGCAAGTGGAACGAATGCTCTCTTGTGGCCACCAGGTCAAGGCAATTTGTGGAATGGCAGAAAGGGAATTAGTGGAAGCTTGTCCTGCTGTTTGTAAAAAAACACGTGCTTGCGGTCACATCTGTGAGGGAACATGTGGTTCTTGCAGACAAGGTACCCGCCACATCCCGTGTTCAAGTCCTTGTTTACTTGTGTTTCCCTGCGGGCATCCGTGCAAGGAGAAGTGCAGTGCTGTATGCAAACCTTGCTCAGTCGGTTGTGAACGATCCTGCGCTCACCTGACAAAATGCACTAAAAAATGCAGTGACTTCTGCAAGCGTTGTCCTCTGCCATGCGACTGGAAGTGCTACCATGCCCAGTGTAAAAGCCTCTGCTCCGAGATATGTTCAGATCGCTTAATCTGTGATGAGCCTTGCCCGGAAAAACTAAGCTGCGGCCACCCTTGTATTGGGATGTGTGGGGAACCATGCCCATTGCTGTGTCGAATATGCAGCAAGAAAAGCAGAGTCTTTGCCGGTTTGCCACCCTGGTCCCGCTTTATCAGAGTCCAACCATGCAACCACGTCATCGAGGTGACCAAGATGGATGCCCACATGGCCCGCCAAGGAGATGTAGTGACACTAGGCCCAAAACGGTGTCCTGTGCCAAGCTGCAGGAAAATAATCCAAATATGCCCTCGATATGGAAGGGAACTGAAGACGTACATTAAAGCCAAGGACGAGGCTTCAGCAATTTTAAGATATGAATATTCTCTTTGTCAGCAAGTTCTCAAGTCTGCTGAGTTGATAACGAGAATAAGGGCATTGGATTCTCCAATCTGCGCTGAGATATTTGATTTTTGCAGCACTTCTGAGATCGAAGGTCAAAAGGTACAAAGGGATAAAGAGACCTCCCTGATGTTGCTGACAATGGGCACCATTTTAGATGCAACAGACGCCATTAAAGAGTATGTTCAGACCTTAGTTTATATTTTTAACGCAGATTGACGCAAACAAATAACAAAAGTATGCTTTTATGTTTTTTGTCTTTGCCATTAAATATATCGATTGCTTATTTAATTGTAATCGGAAGTGCTTCAATTTAGGTAAGTTTTGCGTAAGATGCTCTTATAGTAATACTCCTAATGACTTATTGCTCGTCTGTTTCAGGGTAAACTTGTTAAAGTTTTACCTTGACTCTACCAGCCAGGCAAATCTTAACAGTATTTTAGAAAGACTGCGAAGTGCTGAAGATGACGCCGACCTTTTCAATCTGGTCAATACTCTACAGCATCTTTTCCTTCGTTCGTTGATCCTATCCTCACGCACGGGGTTGGATGAGATGAACATGGGTCTTGTCAAGGCCCAATGTATCGAGACCTTGGACTATCCTTGGTCAGAACTTGTGTTGATTTTCAAGAAATTGAAGGGGGTAGACGATCAACGCTCTCGTCAAATGAAAGCACTGTTGCATGCGCCGTTTACTTTACCGGAACGGCGGCAGTGGTGGTACTGTCGAAGAGGTATGCTAAAGAGGCTGTAGCATATTTTATGTACAGTTTTTTAATGCCACTTCTTTAAAGTCCGTTATAAATATATGTAATTGAATCTTGTAACCATGTACATGTAAATAGTAAACGATCATGAATGGAACCGTTCATTTCAGAAACTATGCTTCTTAGTAGGCCTATCCACAGATTACTTTCGTTTGTCTCATATCTTGTCTAAAACATCCGCACACACATTGAAGCTTTTAATTTACACAACACGTATTACTGGAATAAATTAGAAGTTGTTTATCTTAATACCAGGTCACGTGATGAGGACGTCCAGCAAAGAGGCCCCAGCATGTGAGGCCTGCGACCTTGGGGAAGATACGGACCTTAGTCTTCACCAGGAGAGTTGGACTTCTGCAGGCGCCACAGATTCTTCAGGTCAACGCCGTCTGGAGACAATTGCCGGGCGCCGAGGTGGTGGTGGTGGTTTGGCACGTGGTGGGGGAAGAGGTCGTGGAGGTCGAGGCCGTGGGGGTCAAGGTCGTGGTGGACGAAGTACGCTATTCTTCAACTTTTTAACAATTAACGAATCAATATTTTCTTTTTTCCAGTTTAAAAAATTTACCTCGATATTTCTACTTTCAGAAAATGTTCATCATACTAAAATCTTTCAATACTGACTAATACACTTTACCATATAGGAGAAATACACGCTGTAGAAAAAATAATGAATTTTCAGATGCCGGCTTAATGTATTAAGTAGCGATCGATAAATTTATAAAGAAATATAACATGTATACATTCCAGGGTAAGAAGAGTATATTTTACTACTAGCGCATCAAAATTGACGTTTAAAAAGAACGACTACACGGAGGATAAACAGTGCCTTCAAAAGAACTGTCTCCGACGGAATGACAAGGATAACTACCTGTATATAGAAGTTGTACGTGGTGGCTCTGATGTGTTTTTCATAGTGAGTCCCACTTAGATTGGGAGTACGTGTTCAGTGACAGTATGGTAATGTATATTCATCGTGTTTTTAACTAGTAATTGTGTTGGTCTAGTAACATCACGACCTTGTGCAGTTCAGGCTTGTCTTGAACAGCGAACGTAATTGCTTGTAAATAATTGTCTTAGATTGATTATGAAGAACCAGCGTTTTTGCAAATTCAAGTATCAGAATGTTTACAAATGTACATACATGTTTTTCAATATAAAAGAATTTTTAATTTGAGTGGGCACGTTATTGAAAACAATGGTAAATTGTGTAGTGAGATGAAATTGTGTAGTGAGGGATATGTTCCAAAAATAGTTCATTAGTTAGTACCAAAAGTGAAACTTTATAGAGGAATTTGGAAAATACTGGCGTTGGGTAGCGTCGACCAGAATTTAGCAAGAGATTTGGTTTGTAGGGTGCTAATGACGGTCCACCAAACTCACGAGGCAGGCCCGTAGCCAGAAATTTCAAAAGGGAGGTTCTTTTTCAGAAAAAAAGGACCTTTTACAGTGGAACTCTTGTGTACCTAGATCAATTTTACCAGCATTGACGTTTTCCTTAGAAAAAGGGCGATTCTTTTTAACCCCCCGAACCCCACCCCCGACCCCCTACTACGGGCCTGTGGGTTGTAAGATCGGGTACACCTAGTATGTACTGATATATATATATATATATATATATATATATATATATATATATATATATATATTGGATACGTTACTTTACTACCCTTTCTGATTTTGAATAAGTTACTTAATAGCAAAAAAAAAATTGTATTCTGACACGTTACATTAGACATGCAATGAAGTTGAGGAATAGTGTGTGACTCATGTCGGTTGATTGACAAGGGTGTTAACATATATACATATTTAATGTTCTGTTGCCAATGCATATTCTTTGTAACGTAATTGTTTGACCTCGCAGCCCTCAAGTTAAGAAATTTTCTTTCTTTGAAGACGACTGCATAAGTCAAAATGTTGCTTATTTTTACCTTAAGTATTTTTATAGATGTGCACGCTTGTAATGATCAACTAATTTTACAAACCGCAAAAAAGAAGTACAAAAAGAGGCAATTCTCGGATACATATTTATTTATTTCAGAATATCTTAATTCATTTCAGTTGTGTAAAAATGAAATTGAAATAGCAAATTGAGAAAATTGGAAAGGGAGTAACTGGCACATTTTAAAAATGAGTTACTCTTTGGCGTAGTGACGACTATCTCCTCTTCTTATTTTATCTTTCTTCTATCTATCTCCTTTTCTTATTTTACAACATCGATATATATATACAGCACATCCAAAGTTACCAACAAGAAATGTTATCTCTGTCATCACTGTAGGTGTCACCTGAAATGGAGTATTTCGGAAATCAGTCGGGATGATTTAATATTTTTATTCCTTATTCGGAAAGTTAAGAAGTGTTGTATATTCCGATAATGACATCATAAACATCGGACTATAACTAGCAACACTTAATTAATAAGCTATGTTATATTATCTCTAAGAAATAAATTGAACATTGGCTGGATTGTGTCATAGTGGTGTCTGTTCAACGTGCATATGTATAAATCCTTTTAACAGGAGAGAGAGAGAGAGAGAGAGAGAGAGAGATAGCGTACCTTGGTATCACGCCATTCCCATTTTAGTATTTGCTATATCCGTATCCGTGACTGTTGGCGTATCTACCGGCGTATATGTCGTTGAGGTTGATGTCACAGATGGCAGCACCGCGGTAGGCGTTTCCTGGCACCAGATCGAGGCCGCTGGTAGCGCTACCTGGAGCACAGTGCTGCACAGTGGCGATTCCATTGGAACAGAATGTTAGAGAGAAGCCGTCAGCGTTGGCGTAGATACCGTCGTAGGCGCAGACTCCTGCGAAATTATAAGTGTGATAAAATAATTTATTATTCAGAATTTCCTTGAATTAAAACATAAAACATCTATTAGCCATCACGTATATTTGGAAAAAATATAGAAAAAAAAAAACACTGCAAGCTGCTAATAAATTTTAACAACGAAATACCCCAGCGCAGTGATAAATTTGAAGACAAGGCACAGCGTAGTTTATTTTGAACTTTGACATTGGTAATTAACTGATAAAATAGTTATTCTGCTAAGTTCTTGTACGCGAAATGATAGCACATCATTGAACGTTAAGTCTATCAGAATGATCTATGCTTTTCTTTCTATATATGGAATCATCCACGGTTATTTTAGCCAACAAAAGAGAATAGAATTGCACAAAATTGTGGGCGCAAACACAAAAATAGAGAGGAGGATAAAGGTGCGGGGTTAGGAAGCGTGAAAGATTGAGACAGAGTTCACTCACCGCCGTATTTTCCACGGTACATGTATTCCTCGTTATATTTGAGTGTTGGGGCGTCGATGACGTGTTTTGGGCCTGCAACCACTGGTCGCAAAACACGTGGGGGAACTCTTGGAACCACACGTTGGGCGACTGGGAGAACTCTTGAAACCACACGTGAAGCGACTGGGCGAACTCTTGGGATCAAACGGGAAGCGACTGGGAGAACGGACGAAGCGACCGGGCGAACTCTTGGGATCAAACGGGAAGCGACTGGGAGAACTCTAGTGGCCACACGTGGGAGAACTTTTGAGACCACACGAGTGACGACAGGGGCTGCTGGTTTCACAAGCTGTTTGTGATAACGGACGAAACGGTTCCTGTAAAACAATGGAAAAATACCTTACCAATCTCTATTCACTGAAATATACACTTACTGTTTATGCCAATTTTAAGTTTACAATTTGAAAATGATAACTAAAGGACTTTGGTAAGAATTGAAAAAGCGGAGAATGATAGCCACTATTTTGTCTACTACTTTGATATTCCAACGTCCTTGTTTACTTAAAGCCAATTACATTCCTTATTTTTTGACTAGTCTCCAAAACCCAAATCCTCTGTTTTTATAAAACGCCCCGAATGTGACTAAACAACTTGACTGAAAAATTGCCCATGGTTTTCTTGTTTTAAGAATTCAGGAGTAACATTAATAAGACTGCTGCTAGTTCTTTCAGTCAGATTGGACCCAATTTTCGGTCAAAAATTTAACTTATACTTTTTTTTGTGAAACAAGACCTTAGTTTCCTTCCTTTCTTGTGTTGATAAAAAGGCGCACAATGAGCAATAGACAATTACAAATCAAATTTAATTTTTCATGGAAACATCGACACGTTGTCATTTATCAGCGGTCTGCCATATCCAAAGCCTTTGACAAAATATCTTGAAAAGAATCGCTTAGTTTTCTATGAAAATAAATTCCTTTGCTATCCAAAGTCTAAAAGAAGAAGTAAAATACATCGAAGACACCTTACCTGAGAGCAAGGTTGGCGTTGCCGTACACGGGGGAAGTTTTTCCAAGCAGGTAGTCATTGTAGTTGGCAGTGGCCACAGCCACGAAGACGAACATGAGGGCAACGACTGACTTCATCTTTGTCTTTTGATCCAAAGACTGTGCTGTAAGATCTTCACCGGAGCTTAACTGATCCCGAAAGCTGACGGTCTTAGATTTCCAGAACCTTTTATAGTCCGCGATGTCCATCGGAGGGACTTGAAGGGGGTGTCGGCGGCGCTTCCGTCTTGTCAGATTGTCGCATCTGTTGCAGGTGTTGTTGTATCTGTAGCTGGTACCAATTTAATTCAATTCTACATTTACTAATTCTACATCAAACTACCCTTTTAGGATTTTTTTCAACAAACGCTCTTTAAGGTTTTATGATTATACATTTATTCTATTTCAACGGGTATCTTAGACATAACTTCTATATCTTGTTCCCTTGGGTGCCCGACGAGACAGTACGTGACTCGAACCATTTACCAGAAGGTGACAACGCGCACGTCATTTTGACACATTCCGGAACATTATTACCCCGAACGCTTCATTCATCAAGATTCTCGTTGTCCAGCGCTCTACACACGCATCATTGTCAGCTTTTGGTTTATAATTGTTTCGTAAACAGACAACTCTGCCATACGGGTAGCAATAATTGTTCTCATTAGAGCTGTGAGCACGCGACGGCTTTCTGTCTATGTGTAGAGGTCGCGGTTAGTTTAATAACCATTTTTAAAGCCTGCATAAGCGGTTATGTGTGAAATTAACCCACAATGAACTTTAAAACAGAAGTCGGTCATTGTTTTTAAGTTACAATTTCCTTACTGAGCTGTTTTAACACATGCGGGAGTATCTTACATCTGAGAGTAATTTATAAATGATCCGGTAACGATAAGAACTGCCTTAAAATACTAATACTACTCCTAGATTTATATCATCAAACTTGATCAAAATGGAATGATGGTCAACCGTCAATTCGGAATTTCGATCCACTGACATCACTCTAACCTTAACCTGTATGCATATAATGGAGGGTGAAAGAAACGTTTGATATGCCCAAGGCTGCACTGACCTTCAGTTTGCTTAGACATGTCTGGACGGAAATTCAAGTACATGCAAACACGCACACGCGTGTATACAAACACGCACACATACACACACACACACATCACATCTGTGAACAGGTACAAATTCAAATAAAACGTTTCAATAATCCTCCCCCCCCTCCTCGGACCTCACGTCTCGCCATCAATTTGCTAGTTTTCATCTCTGTGCGTTTACAAGAGTGACTAAAACATTGGACTCCTCATACATCATGATATGATTTATTTATTTATTTATTTATTTATTGCTAAGCGCCCATTGTATGCCTGCATTATTCTCTTTAGACTTAGATAAAGACCGATTAAAGTAATATTGATGGCCAATGCACATTTGCAAATATTTGATTTCGTCTTNCCCCCCCCCCCCCCCCTCCTCGGACCTCACGTCTCGCCATCAATTTGCTAGTTTTCCTCTCTGTGCATTTACAAGAGTGACTAAAACATTGGACTCCTCATATATCATGATATGATTTATTTATTTATTTATTTATTTATTTATTTATTTATTTATTTATTTATTGCTAAGCGCCCATTGTATGCCTGTATTAGTCTATTTAGACTGAGATAAAGAACGATTAAAGTAATATTGATGGCCAATGCACATTTGCAAATATTTGATTTCGTCTTTTAAGTTATTAACAAAAGAACTTTCTTTTGTTTTGAAAAAGACACGGTTATTCAGTTGTACTTAAGAAATACACGATTATCTTTAGGCAGGTTGCGATTCAATTGCTGTAATAAGTATGACTTCAAAAAATGCATAACATCCAAGATATACTGTCTGAGTTGTAAATGTTCCAATTTCATGTTTGCTACATGTATGCCTTCATAGTATGCCAAGCTATTTATCATTCCCAATTCAGAACTTAAATGTATAAAACATGTGAAATGAATGCATGTATGTGATGTCAATATTTCTTTCTGACATGGAGGTCTTCGTAACTGACCAGTCTTCCAGAACTTAATTATTTAATTAGAAACATAATTTAAAAGCATCGAATCTAGGCGCAATGGTTCGTTAGTAGAAGAAAATTGCTTTGTTTCGAAGAAAATTCATTTGCGAGAAAATCCTAGATAGGATATATACTTTTAACAAAGTTGTTAAGCAAACTCATCATGATAATTAAAGGTATTTTGGATAGCTTATTTTCGTGTAACATAAGACAGATAAGGTCCAGACCTACGCTGTAAATTATTACACGCAGCACGAAACGTTTTATTTTGAAGTAATTTAGTTTCATAAAATTGCTTCTCATTTGTTGCACAATTGATCTTTGTTAAATGCCGCAAGCCTCCATTATTTTGACGAACATGTACTGTCAAAAGTTAGACCATGACTTAACTTTCATTTAAATCATATTTTCTGTTTAAATCATCTTTAAAATGGGACGTCATGATACATGAGGGGTCAGATGAAAAAGTAGTAGGGTGCAGGGGCCTTTTCCAGAAAAGAAATTAAGATCAAACGGTGGCCTAAAGTTTTCAGCCAAAATTTCAGTCAAATTTTCCCAATTACATATAATCATCTTAATCCTAAGAAATTAAATGATATTTGGTTTCATAAAAATAAAGAGATGCGTACTACCAGTAGTAGACCTACTGCTTAAAACCAACAGTAACGCTAATAAAGGACTGAAGTAGACTGAAGTAGACCAATGACTGGGACTGAGGAAGACCAATAATTGGGTCTAAAAGCTACTTAGTAAGACCAACTCCCCCTTTAATGTCCTTTCATAAAGCCGGGCCTTGGGGTATGTGTGTGTGTGTGAGGGGGGGGGAGAGGGATGGAGGGTGTGGTAGCGAAATAAATAAGGAAAATAAACATTCCCTCTTTTCTCATCAGTGACCATAATCTCACGAAGAGTCTTCTTATGTTCCTCTGTAGGTCTTTGATCTCAGTTTTTCAAGCAGTTACATGGTGATACTAGTACTGTGCATGTATCAACTCAATTATAAATTCACGGACAAGAACTTAATTATCTCATTTACTTTATCTTGTATAGTGTAATAAATGGGATGCTTTGACAGAGGCTGACAATGGCATAATTTATAATTGTACAGACAGTATTATAAACACCAATGTGGTAGCATATGGTCGTTTATGTATGCGAGCATGATGGATGCACATCAGGCCAATGCAGTGACAAAGCGATCTTGTACAGAATATACCGGAGTGGACTACAATGCACGTATAGTAGAATAACATTTCTACCTTGCTACACCTTGAATAACAAGAAATAAAATTTTCCTTGTGCATTTGCCATTTTAGAGACTCTTCCAGGTTGTTGAAGTAATGGGACGCGAAATGACCACAGGAACATCTATAGGAGATATAAGGTTATTTTGGTTTATTCCTTTAAGAATATTTAGATATAATTAAAATTCATAATTATCGTGGACTTTAAGCTGTGTGTGTATGTGTGTGTGTGTGTGTGTGTGTGTGTGTGAGAGAGAGAGAGAGAGAGAGAGAGAGTGCGCGTGAAAGAGAAAGTGAGAGAAGGCGGCGCGGGCCAATATCTTTATGATTCTAATGTGGTTTTGTGGCTGTGATTTGTGTGAATTACAAAAAAAAAAAAGAAGAATGAAGGAAAAGAAGGAATGAATTTACTGGGGACAGGGGGTCTTAATGGGGACCATCTGATGTATACAAAGTTTTAACTTTAAAACGTTAAAATGGGTGTGTGTGACATCACGCGAGACTAGAAAAAGTGCGAGAATCCACGAAAAGTATGGATAACTTTTCTTCGCCCTGCTCAAGCACCACATACGAATTTCTCTTCCAACCATGCAGATTCCTCCCAACGAAAGTTATTACAAACTAGTATAAGTGATAAAATAACAATGAGACATCAATGAACATTACAAAGAATGTCAATATAAGAACTTAAAGTGTCCCCTCGTTTTCAATTCGCAAAGTGTTTACGACAATGAATTGAGACAATTAAGAATGTCCATTTATCTGCATGATTTCCATTAAGCGGGAACCGGAAATTAGTCTTTTCACAGTTCTGTTGCAACGAATGTCGTTAGACTTAATTATATCACTGCTTAACGATCGAAAGCCATTCAGATGTGGCTAATTTAAGCTTTATCAATCGTTTGATTCAACAATACTGCAACAATCCCTCACTCTGTAACGCGCAATTGATACTCTCTCTGCTATATTTCTTGTATTAATCGTAATTGATTAGCAATACCACGTGTATCCGCACTCTGACGGGAGATGAAAGTTCAAGCGACCCCTGGCGCAAGCCGTGAGGGGACAGGCTTGACGGAGATGAGGGTCAGTGTTTCGAAAGAACGTTAGCCCAGCGAAAATTGGCCTTAACTTTTAAACCAAAATTTCTATCTTCGCTTCAAGATTAATTCATAGTAGCTGACTTACATACAGTAAGTATCTGGCTGAAACACTGGACATGTAGTTTTTGTTATAAAATCAGGGTGGTGTTTTATTTGATTGACCTAAATGTACTAATGCCTTGGAAAAATAGAGACCGCTGGAGCCTTAGACAACGCGTTTTTTTTTCTGAACGGATAGCAGGAGACTTATTGAGTCGCGGTAAAATTTCTACATCGTCTATAGATCTATTTTACTGTAATTAATAGATATTTTATGAATCGCCTTTTACATGAATGCTATACATGTATTATTCACAATAACGTAGTATAACTAGTATCAATAATGCACTGAGAAAGCAATACCGCAATTTCCTTATATCGCATATTACACCCTCCCCCCTTCTCGCGACTCATGGGGTACGACCCCCTCAAGCGCCACCCCCACCACCGATGCGGATGCCATCTGAGAACACCCCCCACCCCCACCCCGCCCCATAATCAACTCCCCTGTCCCCTCACTGACAAGACCTTTAATCTCAAACGTAACTCCGTGCCAAAAAATCAATCGTCTCCAAGCCGTATTGTTGAGGTATGTTTTAACAATTGATCAATAAACAGGTTGTGGATGTTCACTCAGCATCGGCGTTAACTGTAACGATCCCATTAAAAGTGAGTGGGACGCCGTGAAGACGTGTGGGGACATTGAAAG